CAGGTTTAAGTGATGGGGAGCTGAGCACTCACAGCGAAATCCTAAATTTAGGCAGGAGAGGACAAAAGTATAAAAAAAACCCCCAAACATTAAAAGTTTAAACACCTGACTCCAAGCCTGAAACCAAGGCTGGATATCTAATTGACCCTCACAGTATCTATTAGATCCTAGGCCCTCCCTGAAAAGGGATTTCTGTCCCTCTGGGAGGCAGAGCACGTAAGCCAGAGGAAATCATGCCAGGTGGTGCAACCCCAGAATGGCACAAGCCCCTGGGAACATTCACTGGGTTCAGATCTGCTCCTGTATTCAGTGACCAACCCAGCACCTGCTCCCTCCTCTCAGGTGAAGAGCAGATGGGGCCAGGCCAGCCCTACCCACACAAGGAGGAACCTCCCACCAATTAATTTGCCCTTAAAACTGTGACAAACTGCACTGGCAAGCCAGGAACTTGCATGTGCTCTGTTAAGCCTGACCGTGAAGCCGTGTGTAAGAGTATTAGCAGGGGCAGAGTTCAGGGCAGAGTTCAGCCCTCTGCTTTTCATTAAGGCAAGTAGGAGTCAGCAGAGACACTATTTTGTCTACCCATTCTGCAGTGTGCAGTGCCTGTCATGTTCCATGCAGTGTCTGCCTTCAATTAAAGGATGCAAATTGGCCTTGAGTGCCAGAAGAGAAACCAAAACGGGCGCCGTTTTGATGGACCAAAACTAAATGTGAGACAGGGAGAATCTGTCCTCCCCACAAAAATGCCTGCAATACACACTGGAAAGAAACTTCAAGAAATCCATGGAAATGCTTTGAAGGCGAGTGACTCACAGTCACTTTGAAGGCTAAGTTTTCTTTTCACTTTCTGCTTTTGAGAAAGGTTTTAAGATTCACAGAGCGTGTTTCGCCCTAAGTGTGGCGGCCTGGGTTAACTTTCCTTTCCCCTCTTGTTGTGGGTTGAGACTGCCACATCTTCTGGTGGGACAGCCCACAGGGGAAAGTGTATCAAAATGCCAGGCCATGTGCACCAGGGTCTCTCATACAAGGACCAGGAACAAGAAAACCTGCAAAATGTTCTAATTCCCAGCGTTAAATGCCTTGCTCATCCCACCACTACTAGGGTTTTTCAAAACACAGGGTTGGAAGGTATCTCATTATTTTATCTACAGGTAATGTACTCAAGCAAAGCCAGCTGAAAACAACTATGGGAACAAATTTGGTGCTAATATAATGCATATGACTGTGCAGTTTATTCATGAGGACTCAGCAGGGACATTATCAAGCATCTCAGCTCTAAAGTAAGTTACTAATTACCTTCTGGCCTCAGGGTCCCTCTTTCTAGCAGCCCAAGGACAGGTGAAGATTGGTGCTGTCACAGCTATTACAGAGCTGAGTATTTTGCTGTAGCAATGTCTTTGTACACATTCTGGAATAAATATCTACATAAACCCCCAAAAACCAGTATCTGTGGTTTTTCCTGAAAAAATTGCAGTGAAAACAGTGGAGGCAGCTCTAATTACAAATAAGGTATCGAGCTCTTCTAGGTATATGAAAAAATACATAATATATAAAATACATTAAAACCCCACAAAAGCCCTAAAAGATCCATCAGATCATCGAACCTATTCTATCTGGAAGGATCCAATGAGGAAATCATTAACTGTAAAACTAATACCACAGTTGCAATGCAGCAGTAACAGAGGGGGAGGAGCAGATTCCCACTCTCGATGCCACATGTGAAATTCAATTCCTTCTAAGGATGTTTAGACTTACAATTAGCTAAGTACCCTTGGACACAGGGGAGGGATCTTCATATTTAATACAACCCTTGCTTGCAGTGCTTTTTTTCCCCACCAACTCTTCCATGTCACAAAATGACAAGGAATAGGACTGGCCAGGGATCATTTCAAATATGAAGAGGTCTCACACAACTACGCAACAGAGAAGACCATTCTGCCAAAAACAAAACAAAAAACCCACTACAAATTCCTCTCCCTGAAACCATTCTTTTTGTGACTTACAGTTGGCTTCCTGTGACATGCTGGAACCAGGAGACCAAATCCACCGAGTACCTGCTCACAGAAACAGCAGTTAATCGTGCACAATGACAAGAAAAATACCAGGTACATTGGAAAAAACCGTTGGAGAAATGCCACAGTAAATGATGGATCTGAGGTGCTAAGCCCTCCCAGGTCTACAGGTGCTTTGCCCATTGCCTTTTACACTTATGGAAAGACGTAGGTTTTATTACCAACAGAAAACCAACTCAAGGAAACAACTGGGACACGGTGATTACATCTCTTGTCTGTCTTTTTGGTCCTCATTTTGGAGTCATCTAAGGCTGAAGGATGATACAAACATTAAATGGAAAGAGAAAAAACACCCATGTGGTGGAAGGAGCCAAGTATCCTAAAGCAGCAGCAAACCCACGTCTCCCTTTCCCATCCATCCCCACGTGCCCTGTGCTGACAGACCTGGAACTCTTCCTTACCTGGTGCCATTCACCAAATAATCCCTGGGATTCCAGCTTTTTTATGACAAACCCACGCTTATGTCTAACTTTTGACTCCTGAGTATTTTTTGGCTCTTTTGGGGAGACAGAGGGACGCCAACAAAAAAGACAATTAGTATTGTTTCCCTTCCTTTTTCAAAATCTGAAGGAATATTTGTGTTTCCTACTCCACTACTCCAGTTGCAGCTCCACAGAGTGGATGTGTGGCCATCACACTGGAAGGACAGGAGAGAGGAACACATCTCAGACTTCATTATTAGTGCTGCTGGTGGGACAACTTCTTACTAGAAGCGTTTGAAAGTGGTTTTCTCCAATCAAATAATGAATCCCCAACAGCTGTGCCTCAGAAGAACAGCCTACATGAAGCCATCTGCACAGCAGTGCTGCAGCCACTGGGTTTCTCAAAACATCTGCAGGATGGAAAGAAGAGAATGGCACTGAGGGAAGAATGACTGTCTACAGCAAACAGAACATGCCCCAAACCCACAAAGTTAAGGAAAAATACGCCAATGGATTTGTATTTTTAAAGCGTCTATTGCCTCATGAGCCATTTTAATCACAAATTCATTTACAAACTCTCCTCCTGTCCACGTAGGGATCATTTTCTGATTGTTTCTTCCTTGGTTTGTTTGCCTAAAACCTGGATCTTTACCAGTAGGACTCACCTGCTGCTCGTTCCCCACCAGAAGTCAAATCAACGTGTCAGCATCACGCCCACAGATGGGATTTCACAGCAAGAGCAGTGGCAGCCTGCACTGAGGAATGAGCCACAAAACCACAGGAAAAGCCCTCAGAGGGCAAGGTCTGGTTCTCATCAGGCACTCTACGTCACGAGAGGCAGGGAAGGTGCAAGGCAGGAGAGAGGCTGTGCACAGGTGCAGCTCACAGGGGAGTTTTGATGCTTACCAGGAGGAAGGGCTTGTGGCATGCTGGGGGGCCTTGGATAATTCCCAGTGCCATCTCCTCTTCCAGCTTGCATGCTCCCCTCTGGCTGGCCCCAAATCCTGGCACCTGGTAACTCCTGCTGGCACAGAAGTCCCTCGCTGCTGAAAATGCAGTCAAGGCACTGCCTTTGCCCCCTTCCCTGTCCGGTGGTCCATTTGCCAGGCAAGGTGTGGGAACAGAACTGGGGTTTCTCCAGCTTGACCTCTTTTGTTCCAGGGATGCTTTTTCCCTCCACCTCAAACAGAGGGAGGGGGAAAGCCAAGCATAACTCCAAAGTCACAAAATTAGCAATTGGCTCACACTGGGCACAGCCTCTGCAGGCCTTTTTCAGTGCTGGACCTGGTCAGCTCTGCAGCCAGTGGCTTTCATTTCTTTATCCCCATAATTTTTCCCCTATGTGTGTGAGTGCAAGGGAACGCTCTCAGCTGCTTCAAGAAGCCCCTTCTTCCCCACACTCATCCTGTACCAAGGGAGGGAGGGGGAAAACCAGGGAGTTTTATGTATCCTGTTTTCCTCTCCCTGCTAAAGCACTGAGGGGGTAGGTGGGATGGCAGGAGAAGCCTCTCTTAAATAATTCCCTCGGTCCCTTCTTAATCGATCTTACCCCACAGGAGTCAGGCCCTGTAATGGTTCCTTCATTCCTAGCACAGTGTGCAGAAAACACAAGGACTTGGTGCACTGCAAATGCACGTTTGCAGAGCCCTCCTACAGAAGGAAAACTGAGCACATTCTGACTTCTGTGGAGAACAAAGAGACACGTGGACTTGTACCTTTAATTACCTGTCTTCCAGATGCTGGAACAAAATGAAGAGTACCCCTCCTTTTTCACTCGGTTTTATTATAAAAATCAACATTTCATTTGTTACAACTCAGTTTATAGTAATAATTGAAAAGGATTTTTGTACAAGGTTTATATACACCGTATAAGTAAAGCACTTTATTTTACAAAAAAAAAAAAAAAAGTTAGTGAGTGAATAGGGCTGACCAAATGTTGGCCATTATAATATAAATACATCCTTGCAAAGCACCACTGTACCAAAGCTGATGAACAAGAGACACCAGCTGGCTTTAAGACAATGACAAACAGTGATTAAAGCTTACACAACAGGGAACAAACAAAGCAAACCAAAAAACAAAACAAAGATTTAAAATCTAAAAGCAGCACCAGATCCTTCACTTGCAAACAAGGCTAGTTCAGCTTAAGCCTAGTGGTATCCTCTTCACACACACACACACACAAAAAAGACATTTTCATTTTCCCTTGCTGACTTTTAACTGCATGGCTTAAGGCTACAGCCATTTTAATCAGGACTTCAAAGCTGCTCCTTGTTCATTTAAAAGAGGGGAAGAGTTTCACCGTAACAATCACCCTGCCTGCTACTGAGACAATCTCTGTCCTGAATAAAATGTGGACACTTTACTTACCCTGCCCAGTTTTGAAGAGAATCACCCAGTCCCTAGAAATGCTATAAACCCATCACTGTTGCTCTTTTTAAAGATGGAAAACAAAACATTTTGAGTGACTAGTGTATTCTGACTTCTTTTAGAAAGAAACTGACTGTTTTGCAGCCATTTTCAAGCTATTAGTTCACTCCTAACATATTTTCAAGGTGTATCTGTCACCTGCCAATTAAGTTAAAGGGTAATTTCCAAGCAATACCACCACCAAAATGCAATTTAAAAAGTCTCATTGCTAAGAAAGCAATTTCTGAATAACAATGCTCCCATTATTTTTGCACTCAACCAGTTATTTTTCTGTTGTAGACCTAATAAATAATCTGCTACGTGCACAGCACATGTTCAGAAGCAGATTCTGTCAGTAAATACTGTGTGACAAATGTGCTCAAGGCAAAATGGCCAGGAAAAAAAATGATTGATTACTTCTTAGGAGGTATTTTGAAGAAGTTACTTGATTCAACAGCATGTGTGACCAAGGAGTTCTGTAGTTCAAGCAGTTCCCCTCAGAATGGTGGTAATCAATTAATATGAGATCTGCCAAGCAATAAGGAACTGGAAATAACTCAATATTCAAGACAGTGGCCTTTTCTTCATCTTGGTGCAGGTTTAACTACCTTAAAGCCAAAGATGTTAATCTGTGTTTAAGGCTTGCCAATCAAGCCATTTCTAGAGGATGGGCTATAATAACTAGAGAAGCGATGCAGAACTGGAGACCAGAACACCATCAAAGCCCATTGTAATAAACAGGAATAACAGGGATTTTCCACATGTAGCTTCACTTACAGTTGACTGTAGCACCTGCTGTGTCAAGCAGTTGGGGTGCAGTTTTCTTCATAATTAAGATTGTTTTTCATGTACCTTCATTCATTTGCAAAATGGACTCCAAATAAAAAATGTGCTTCCTCTCCTGCCTGGTCTGACAGAGCATTTTGTGCTCAGGTTTAAGGTAGCAGGTATTCTGTGTCTGACACACAGCCTGACCAAGAGAAGTCCAGCATTCAACACTAGCACTCTGGAAGGCAGAGAGGCTGAATCTGCTCCTTAGGAAGGTATGAAACGTTTGCAGCATGACATAAAAGGCAAGATTAGGTCTCATTAATGTTGCCATTTAAACATGCTAAGCTCCTGTTGAACATGCAAAGTTTATTTTTCAACAAATAATGCTGGGTTTTGTTTTAACTACAGAGGACTGTTCCTTTCCAGACTGGGCACACCAGTTATTTCCATCACCAGACAGGCAGGTTTGAACACTGCCCAGGTGTCTACAGAGAGCAAAAGGTGCACAATGAGTACCTGTGTTAATGCTTTACTGCACCTGATGCTGTAAAATAAGGACATTTGTGCTTAGCTTGAAGGACAAGGAGCAATTTTCATTGACATCAGTGAGACCCCTTCTATGCTAACAAACCCACTTTAGCAATCTCCTTAATGGACGTGTCTGTATTATCCACAGTCCCTGCATCTCAGTCAATTTGGGAAGCAGGAGAAAACATGATCCTCACTAGGGAAGGACAGAATGTGAATCATGACTGGCTCAGTGGTAAAAAGGAACAGAGAGAAAATGTTCAGTCTCAGTGTTCAGTCAGTCCAGGGTCTATCCACTGGGACTGTGGCAGGGGTGTGTACTGGTTGCATCAATGCTTTTCTAATCTGGAGACCTGCCCAAGAGGAATTTTACTCTGGATTTACTGATAAAATACATGTGCTTCCAAAAGCAGATCCCAGCTTCCCACTCAGATGAGTCCTCTGTGCTGGTCATTCTCAATGGAAAAACAAAGCCTGACCATCGTCCCCCTCTTCACAAGAGCCTTGCAGAGGCAGATCACTCAAAATATCTGATACACAAACTGAAACATCTGTATCAGAAAAACAATCAAATCCTACACTGAACTGCACGTCCACCTTCAGCTGGGCTGTGTGTGGACATAAACCAGCACAGAAGGCAGGCAGCATGACCCACATGCAGGGAATGTCGTCCTTCTGAAGAACCTCGCTATAATCAACACACTTACAAATTTACCTGCAGTAAGTTCCTTCCAAGAGGAAGCTTCAGCAAGGTAGTCCAACTGAAGCAGAAAAGAGAATACCACTCCTTAAGCTCAACCACCCTGGAGTTTTTCAAACAGAAATTGGCACACTGAAAGAAGTATTTTGCAAGAAGAGATCATTGCCATTGCAGTACAAGCACTCGGACTGAGATAGATAGGACAACACAATATTCTTCTGAGTTCATTAGTGCAAGTTCCCACGTATGAACCCCACGGAATGCTGCACATGAAAAAGTGTAAACAACAGAGAAATTCTAATTCTCATTGGCGTGCCAGCCTCAACCCCCCCTTGCCCCGACACAGCCGCCCTCCCCCCCTTCATATATATGGTTTCGAGTTCCCTTATAGTTCACAACACCCTCCTCCACCTCCATCCTGCTGGAGAACACAAATAAACTTCTTCACCAGCAAGGAAGAGCCAGAAGAACAGCTACCACAATTCCCAGACACCTAGAATGAAGCTGGGCAGAAAAACCCCTTAGTATGCCAGATTCAGAGATCAACAGCTTAGAGATCATCAAGGCTTTTTAAAGTTTCTTCAGGTATCTTGGACTGCTAGGAAAGACCCTTTATTACAGATGGAATCCCAATGACACAGTTTTCCTCGGAGCTGAAGCCAAATGAGGATCCAGTACTCCAGATGAGTGGCAGCTAGCAAGAGTTACTTGGCACTGACTTTGTCAACAGCATGAATTAAAGCCCATGCCGTATTTTCAGATTTTTTTACTCTTTTAGTTGAAACTGGCTGGGAAACAAGCAACAGAGAACAATAAAACCCAAATGGCACCTCTGGAAAGGTGAAATCCCCATAGCATGCCCAAAGGTGGGGAGGCAGAAGCTCCTCAGGACCTTCTTTTGAGAGAGAAGACTCAGAGGGCCGGTCCTTAAAGGCATTGAGCACCTTGGGTGGATTTGGTGTCAAGAGAAGGTGCAAATGCATAATGCCATCTACGATCAGGTGTACTGTGAGCTCCCATACAGTCACAGCAGAGCACTGCACTGGAGTCCAGGAGAAGTCAATATCATCCTAGGCTGCCCCTTAACCGATACAAATAATATTTTCACTTGATTAAGTAATCTCCCTGTCAAAATCACCACAGTGAGGCTGATGGGAGAAGGGGCTAAATGCGATAATATACAAAAATAGAGATGTGAATATAAAATGGTTTTGTTAAGAATATCTTGAAATTCGACATTCACAGTGGTTAATACTAAAGTATTAAGCTCACACCACACGAAAGGAGGTATGTCAAAAGGTACATCAAAATCATACTGAGAGAAACTGGCTTTACCTAACACAAAGAAAACGTGAGCAGTTCATACAGCAGGGGAACCCCTTCCAATGATCAAAACATCTTTTTTTTTTTTTTTTTTTTTCATGGACAGTTGGTCCACTGAAAGTTAAATGCTTCCTTAGTAGGAAAAAAATAATATATATATTTATTCATATATGATTTGTATACTGTGATAATCAATATACACTGAAAGTACTGCAAGGATATATTACTCATTTACAGAAAAACTAACAATCCGTGGTTAAATTTATCGTTTATAAATATGCTGTCTGTATTATATGCGGTATAAAAATATTTGACATTTCGTGGGCACTAGGTCAAAATAAGGTTTTCCTTTTTATGGGACTAAAAATCACTCAGGTATATGCATATTACCCTTGTCAATTATGTGAAAATCATACTGACCTGCTCCAAAACAGAATCCAACCATGCTGGCAAAATGAAGAACGTAATGTATAGCATGATAATCACTGCATGACAAGGCTAAATAGGAGAAAAAACAGAATTTACAGCAGCCCGGTTCTAGCAGTACTTTAAATAAGAATATCATGACTTAAAGTGACACAGGCAGGAAGAAAGGATGCAGCAGAGATAAGAAAACCTAACCGGGATTAAAAACATGAATTTTAAAATACACCCCCAAAAAAGTAATCGAAAATTCCAGAAGCAAGGAGAGAGCTCTAAATGCTAAATTATCTAGTTTGTTAATTGCATTAAGGAAAATCAGAGGTGTATTAATTTTAAAAAGTGTGATTATTTTTCTGGATTCACTGCTACAATTGCTGTATTCCTGTAGAAAACAAAGCCCTTTTGTGCAAGGTTAATATCTGTCCTGACTGCATTTTCAAGTTTATCTTCAATTGTTGGCCCTCTGTAGTTATCATAGAGGATATTTGGCTACTTCCAAGTATCTATGGTATGCTGCTCTGAGATGGACTTCTTTATTATTAATTATCTTAAACATTTTTGGTATTGACAAACCCCACATATCACCTCTCTCTGGACAAGTAACATATCCCAGTCCTTCTATTTCCTTAACGTGCTCAGTCACTTCACTGGATTTAAGGCATGTTTTTTGTGTTCCGCTTGCAAAAATAAAAACTTTTTGTACAAACCGTCTGCGTTTCCTTTACACAAAATTTTTTTTTTTTTCTTCTTCTTATAGCACGAGCAGCAGCCGCTATTTAAGAAAATATATAAATATCCTTTTTTTTTTTTTTTTTTTTTTCAATTCTTCTGTACAAATATCTTCAGTATTTCTCCGCCCCTGTACACTGTCCGAGAGCTCCCTCCCCCCCTCCCCGGGAGAACAGTTTGTATATTTACACTTTCACACAGCGGGTCGGGGGGGGCTCCCCCTCAGGAGGAGTCTGTGCAGGGGGAGGGCGGCGGTGGGTACAGGTGGTGGGAGTAGCTGCGCTCGGTGTACGGGGAGGGCGGGCAGCTCTCGCAGTTCTCCTCGGCCGACAGGTACTGGCTGCGCGGGGTGGGCGGCGGAGGGACGGGCTCCGAGTCGTAGTTCAGGTCGCTGGTGTAGCCCTTGCCCGCGGCTGCCGGGACCCTTCGGCTGGGGGCGTAGTCGCTGTCGCACACATCGGTGCTGCAGGGCGTGGTGGGGGGTGCAAAATGCCGGTAGCTGTAAGGCCTGTAGCTGAGGTGGGAGCGGGGAAAAAAGGGGTCAGTGCGATCTGGGGGATGCGCCCGCGAACGAAGCCCAGGGGGATGAGCCAAGGTGGGAACAGAAAGCAGGGCAACCTCTCTGCAGCGATGCACAGCATCACGCTCTCCTCTCTTCGACCACACACGTCACAGTGTCGGTCAAATTACGGCAACCGGTGAACGTGATGATAATTATTAATTATCTACAGACAACACGTTCCCTAAGGACTTAGGAGCAGTTTCTTCTACCTCAATTAAGACAGAGGGGCAGGAAGGGCACGAGTGTGCGTGTGCGTGTCTATATGTAATAGCTGCATTGCAATTACCTGGAGAAGATATTTTGTTATGCAATTGCTGGATACTGACTTCTAAGCCCAGACAAGGAAACTGAAAATTACCTGCAGTCAGGAGAATCATTCCTTACAGCGGTAACTGGGGATGAAATTCTCAAAGGCTGCTACCACAAAATGTCTTTTTTTTTCAAAATGAGCCAAATACAGTTCCAAGGAAACAAATTAGAAAGGGAAGTGCATGGTAGCTACAACTCACAGTCAGTTGGGGATGCAGCTCCTCTATAGTCAAGTCCGAATATTAGCACAGAAGTAAGATCAGAGGCAGTAAGATCAATGTTTATTTTTGGGTGGGGGAGCATTTGGAAAACACTGAACCCTATGCTACACCCCTAATACCATTTTATTGTACCAAAAGGCACATCAGCTAACCACTGATCAGCAAGACTCATGCTGGTTACCAGAATTCAGGTTTCTTTCATTAGAAAATGACTTATTATTTTAGAAGATGTTTTATATGGCTGCAAGGGATCATTATAAACATCTGGTCCGACCTTCTGCACAACAGAGGCCATATTTTCTGCTAATGGAGAAGGGATGTCTGTTTAGCCCCAGAGACCTCATTATCCAACAAACCCCAAAGGCTCTGTGTTAGGGAGGCATATCTTTCAACAGACAAACACAGCACTCTCTTCTCACTGACCAGATCTACTGGGGATGTGCCAGGGGAACATTTACACCCTTGGGTAGTATAGGTCTGTTCCTCTGTTTTTGTTCCTCTAACTTGCTATAAAATGATAAATAACTCCAGCATTCTTAAAGGAAAGGTAAGAAAGACACATTCAAGTAAACAAAGCATACCTGTCCATAGATACTAGTCAGTAAAAATAAGCAAAAGGTTGGCAACCTTTTCCAGATATGAACCCTTAATATGTCAAACTAGAAATTCTGTGGTTTATCTAGACCACAATATTAAATGTTACTTCTGACCTCCTTTATATTGAGCACTTTTTCTCCACAGGGTGTTTGCTTATAATTTCTGATAATTACGTAACAAATTATTTTCGACAGAAGCCTAAAAAAGGGCTGGGTTCACTCCAGGGTAAATATTTTTGGCTCAAACTCATTGTGGTACTGTGTTTCTTTTGGCATTTAGCTAGTTTTGTGATGAGTGCTGTCATTCCCCCTACAGCAGTATGCCCAAGAGATGGATCACCAAAACACCCTGGTGTGTGATTTACCTCAGCCAACGCTGCAGTTGTGCACACCCATCAGTGACCTGATACACGTGAACCCATTGAAGCACTGGTTTAGTGCTTGCAGAATTAGGGCCTTTGACAGCAATTCTTATGGAGCAGAGGCTGCCTTTATTCTGCATTTTCCACACTAACTCTTTGATCCTGACAGAAGCTACTGTAACAGTAATTACCTGTAGGATCTATGAGTGGATGGGCTGTTTGAAGAATAACCAAATTCCATGGTATAGTGTGAACGTTCAGTAGCTGGTGATGGTGGTGGGTTCAAAATCTAAGGAGTAAAACATGGAAAAAAGCCACAGTTAAAAAGGAAAGATACAAAGTAAACTCAAGAAAACACCAGTTTATAATTTTTCTTTTTAGTACTGTATAATAGGATCCTTAAATGAAGAACTGCATGCATAGCCCTGCCAACCAAATGGGATTTTTCATTTGTTTATTCCCCAGTTCTTTAACAGACACTCGAAATGCCATTTGTTGCCATTCCTATCAGCTACTATTAAGCTCTTCTCCAAAAATGCTGACTTAATTTGTTTACTCATCTGTCACTTGTAAGACACGTGACACAAAACTTCCTTTTAATTCCTTGCAAGTCTATACAGAATCAGTCATAGCTTTACCTTCAGAGGCACATGGCAGAGTGTAATGAAAGGAGATCTCTCTGCCAGAGCTGCTTAACATTTATAGGGATTTTTTTCATCTCCCCTGACATTCAATCTAACTTTTTTTTTTCCTGGCACTGAGCTCTCTCACAACTTTTTTAAATTAAAGTTTCTAGACTGTTTTGGAAAAAGACCACCTCATCTTCCTTCCCTTTCAAAATCACGTACTCCATCTTGAAACAAGTTTATTAAGCTAAAAATCTAACCCAAAACATTAATCTGTCAATCAGTTAAGACTCAGAAGACACCATTACTTCTCTGAAAGTTATTAAAGGTCTACAAATAATAGAATAACTTACTGGAGGAAAGTAAGTGCCTTTGGTACTTGAAGAACTACTGGAGGAGGCTCCAGTAACGTGGGCCCTGTCATAGGGCGGTCCACTGCTCCCTCCCATAATGCTGAGGGAGCTGATGACAGATTTACCTCGAGACATACCTGAGGAACAAAGGTGTATGTCAACATTCAACTGAGAAAAGGAAGCTCAACAAAATAATTTGCTAGTGACTGAAGCACGCTGGCACAGAGTCCAAGGGAAAACGGTGCTCGAAATAATGGGGGAAAAATTCTGCTCAAAGAATCTTTATGCAGGATATTACACAAAGTAATTTGATGCATTGTTTTAACCCTGTAACAGCCTCACAGAGCTTCAGTTCTGACAGGAACCTGCTGGATCCAAAGTCACAAGTTACAGGACATATTTAGTTAACATATACAGAAGCAATGCATTTAAATGAAGTGCAACATTGTGATGAAGTTTTACTCCTTAAACAGCAGCAAAGTGTGCTTGGGCTGGTGTTAGAAACTTCAGCACCAAACGAAATAAGCTGAGGCTACAATTATTGCTGGTCATCGCTGACTTTGCAAGAAGTTTCACAAGCATAAAAAAACTCAGTCTACAAACCCATCAAGAATAATTACATAATGTTTAAAGTCCCATTTACATACCGGGAAGAGACCCTGACAAAGAGCTTGGGTGAGGCACATAACCCAGAGGGACAGAGGCTGGGCCATGCACCACATAGTCATTGGTCATGGTTTCTCCATCTCCCTTCATGCGTGGGCACAGCACCCTCTGGCAGATGAAGTACATTGCTCCAACCACAAAGACTGTAAGGATCACACCGATGATGGAGCCTATCGTGTTGTTGGGCTGTGGGGCAGGTTCCTCCGTTGTGTCTGAAAGGGGAAAGGGAAAATCGGACTAGGAAAGTTTAAATCAACATCAGTTTTCCTTATATCTCCCTCTTCTCGCCAGTGAACATTCACCTATGGTGCATCACCTCTCTCGTTCAGTAGTGATGAATTTGGGGTTTGATACTATTTATTAAACTACCTAACCTACAGCACATCTGACCCACCCTCAGATAGAGCTGAGCATCAGCTCGAGAGGTACCATTTTATGAGGAAACTGTATCCAGAACAATTACTCAACAGTCAAAATGAGTGGCTTTCCCTACAATACCAGTTCTAAGCAATGACATTTCTGACAACTCCCTGCCTGTGCTTCGTGAATTTGACAAGAAAAGCAGACTAAAATATTTTCCTGTTCTAGTCAGTGTTTTACATCTTACACATTTCTTTTTCCTGAACACCTAACCCACACTTCAACCAGCCTGTCACAGTCCACAGAGATGAGTAAACAGACTCCTCTGATCATACTGAAAGAGGGATGGTGACAACTGCAATTTTATTCTGGGAGGGCCAATTTTCCATCCTCTATTACAAAACTGGAAAACATAAACTATAGTAAAGGTAACTACCCAGGTCTGTGATGATGTCACTAGTAACTTGCCAGCATGACAGAACATCTCCTATTACTCCTTCTCAAGATCAAGGGTCCAGCTCTGGCTTTGCATTTTCATATTACGTGTGTGTCAACTGTGATATATGGATCTCTAACACAAGAAGAGATGTCCCTGTTTAAAATTTCTTTTAAAGCACCAACAGTGAAAATGAACTTTTCAGTTGGAATTTTAAAGGCAGCAGTATCCTTGTAGTGCCCTGGAGATTTCAAGGCAGTGGAAATCACATATTACAAATCATGTATCAAGCTCAGAATTACACCTTTTCAAGATAAAAAAAGAAATTTTAGAAGGTTTACTCTATAAACAGAGTGCTCCTATGATTCTAAAAGCACCTGCTATTAACTCTCTGGATGAGAAAACCATGGTTGACGGAATAAAATCTAACTTATAGGGAAAGTGAGAAACAAATTTTGGATGCTGCAACCAAGCCTCCAGTCTCAGGTAACACACTTACAGCATCCTTGCTCGTCTGAGCTGTCGCTGCAGTCCAGGTTGTGATCACATTTCTTGCTTTTCCCGATGCACTGCCCGCTGGCACAGCGGAACTGATCCGTCAAACAAAGCACTGCCAAGAGAACCACCCACAGAATAAGTGACAGTATCAAAGGCTTCTCCTCTTCAAAATTGTTAAGAAACAAAGGCACCAAAGTGTACAATCAGGAGTATCTTGGGAGAGCCTAGAATGCTGCAATCTTAATTTCTGAAAGGAGCCGATGACACAAAAAGCCCCCAGTGTGAACCGTGCAAGAGTGAGTGATTCAGTGTTCTGCTGAGGACAGTGCACACTGGGGACCTGGCCCTCACTGCCTACTCACCCTAAGAGCAAAGAATTAAGTTATTAAAAATAAATCTGCCTAACCACAATGATAAAATTGTTTAAGAAAGATAAATGCAGTTTCTCATTGTCCTCGTGCTCTTCCTGTAAACCAGAAAGCTCCTTGACCATGAGACAGTATATTTTACTTGTCCTTACATTTTTAAACTGAAATGAAAGACAGAATATAAACCTGAAGCTTTGCCAGTACACTCAAAAAATATACTATCACTTTGGGAAGAAAGCTCATTGTACTGGCAAACAGTAGTTCACTCCCAGATACCAGGTTTTTAGAGCTTAAAATCATACCCTTTTTAACAGTTCTTTTTACAGTGTTTAAACCACCGTGACAGAGATCAGTCTTAATTTCCACTTCACAGGTAGAGAAACAAAAGCATGGCGTTATGAAACAATTTCCATTTAATAGACCAGTTTAAAAACGAGCAGAACCTTGGATCCTTCCAAACCCTACTCAGTAATAACACTGGTATTTATCGTCGTGTCCCTTAGGACAACTCTGTTTTCACCAAAGCGTCCTCAGTACCTTCACAGTTCTTCTCATCTGAGTTGTCCTGACAATTTGCTTCTCCGTTGCACCGGAGGGCACTGTCTATGCACTGTCCACTTTCACACTGGAACTGGGTATCTGAGCACACGGGGCAGTTCTTCTCGTCACTGTGGTCTTCGCATTCGGTGAAGCCGTCGCAGCGCCAGGCCACGGGGATGCAGTCAATCTCACCTGTGAAACAGGTGAATTGCTGAGGGGAGCATGTTGGTGGTTCTTAAAAAATCAAGCAAACAGACAAAAATTAAAAATCCGGGTGAACAAACAGCTCGTCCAGGTGAAGGGCTCAGCGGCTTTCACGTATCAAAGCAGCTGATAAACACGCCACGGCACAGGGTAACTTCCACACCCACTGCCTCCACACTCATCTGTGCAGACCTTGAGCCCCAAGGGACTGATGAAGGCTCACATCAATGGGGGCTTGACAGACAAAGAACAAGAGGAACAGAGAAACAGGCCCATAAAACACAATTATTTTTCTTCCTTTCCCATTTAAGACTCCTACACCCTTCTCTTAGTAGGTCTTCAACTCTTCATTTAAAGTCATCACACTTTTCTGCTCCCTCTTTCCTGCAACACTACTGTATCCACAGCTGATGACTTACTCTCTTTTTAAATGTTTGTCAGTCCTTGTATAGAAAATGTTAAAAGGATGTGATGTGCTGTACATGGATGCACTGTGACTCAGTGTCTAGTTGTGTGCCCTTGCCAGTTCTGCTCAGTCAAAATTCTTTTAAAACAAAAAATTGCTCCATCTAGTCAAGTTCCACCACCTCGACACATCTGCTCGCTGTTATTTAACATTTACTACATTAACTGTTAATTTCATGGAGTAAGGAAGTGGGGTTTTTTTTTCCCCCCCTTTTTTTAATCCCCATTTCCTCCCTCTGCTTTTTGGCCTGGTACTAAACTTGCTCTGAGAAGATATCTGGATTATGTTATTTATTCCATGGTGAGCCCACATGCCACCTCGATGGCCAGATGATTGCATAATAAATCCATTCAGCACAGTGGCATCAAAGGGCTTCTCCTCTCCCCCATTTCAACCCCTCCTCTGGACACCAGGGTGTGGGTTACAGTGACTGCATCACCACGGAGGAGGCAACGTGCCCTTCTGGCACTCAAGTTCAGAAAGACACACACAGGGTGAGCTTGAGGAGGACAACAGAGAAGAATAAAATGGCACAGACAGTGCAGTGTGCCAGAATGTGAGAATCTACCCCTGTTTGAAAAAGGAGAACGGATGGAGTGATAGAAAAAAGTGATGAAAATCATACAATTAAGAATTGAAGTGGCACAGAGCATGGGAAAGGCTTACCTCCACAGGACAGCTCATCCTGCAGCAGAACAAGGTGGACGGGGCAAGAACAGCGTGTGGTGCCATCGCCCTTCACGATGCAAATGTGTGAGCAGCCACCATTGTCTTGAGAGCAAGGATGTTGTCCTGTGAGTTTAAAAATAAGAAAGACAGGGACTGACAAGAAATCTCCACCTCTTTTACAACCTTTCAGTGATTTCTTTGGGCCCATTGGTCTCCCTCCATTACTTCCTTACCCCGGGGAGAGCATTACTAAAAAAATCTCTGAAAGAGTTGTATTTTGTTACGTGTATTCTTCCCTTTGCATAAAGTAATTATAACACACATTGATAACTGTCCATGATCTGAAACCACTGTAAAAATTGTGCTGTGGCATCTACTAAACAGTACTCAAAGCATTTTGCTTCTTGTGAGAGGTAGAATTAGTTCTCTGCAGCAAAAAGTAGTATTAGTAATACAAAAAGATGTCTTGGATTCCATACTTCATTTTCTCTATCAAAGACCATTAAAAAAGTAAACTTTTCCTAATTTATGAATTCTGAAGCTTCCAGTCTCCAAAACTCAAATTAACATGCTCTAGATAAATATGTCTCTTCATTTTAATGTTTAATAAGGACAACACACTTCTCTTGGAACTCCTGACAGATTTACTGAGATTAATAGCACACAAAACTAGTAGCAGTCTGCACTGATGTTTTAATTAAGCATCCCCAGACATTTTTCTTCATATTTCTCCCAGGCATGCACCACAGCCTACTAACCAGGCACATTTTCTCCAGGATGACAGCAACTCCACTGCTTTAACCATCTACCTCCCATGATTTCAAGAGTATGTGTGTAGGGAAAGGCCTGGTAAACAGAAAACTTTTAAAAGTGCAGCCATGTTCAATACAAATTATTTAATACACACTTCCTTTTTCCAGTGCAACACTGTTCTCTGTCCCTCACTTTCAATATGAATTCCCACCATCAAAAATTGCTCAGTTTGCCTTCAAGGCCAGCAGTCCATTGAAACATTTGCTGCCAGTAAAAGCCCTGAGAGCTGTGCTTGCCTAAGCAGAGCAAACACCTCATAGCAGTTCCCTAGCATGATCCTGAAAATCCTCTCCTAGGGATAACAGGATGTTTCCACTGTGCCCAGAGACACTCACATGCCAGGTGCCTGTATGACACTACAATAAAGCTGTCATCAGCAACAAAATACGATGCTGGGGTTGTGATAGATTTCCAATCCACTGCCAACTGCCTGAAGGAAACAATCTTAACAGCACCCTGACCACTAACTGATACCAACTTCTTCCATCTGCACGGATGTTGGTCAGCAAAAAGGCAAAAGAGGTTTCTGTCTCTGTGGCCACTCCTTGGCTTGAGTCTCACAGGCACTGTTTGCACCTGCAGACAGGCACTGCACTTACTGTACTCCTGGATGTTGAGCTCTTTCACAGCATGGATGTCACTGAGCTGTGCAATACGAGCTTGGACCTTCGTACGCCCTTCTCGGCCAGTCATGTCAATCTTTTCAATCATCTGCTGTTGTCTGTCAATCCAGTAGAGCCAGTTTTCAAACACAGTTAGTCCCACAGGCTGCAGGATATTAGAGTCTTCCAAAACAATCCGGTTGGCACCTGCAGAAGGGAAAGAGTAGTCCAACTAGAATCAACTGAATTACTATCAGAAACATTTTCTACACCACTCACATCTCTGTTTTTCACTGCTCCTATGCTACCAGGTAAGCCTGCTATAAAAACCCAAGCAATCCATGGTCCTCTGATGCATGAGTAATGCATTTGGCAGACAGATGATTAAACTTTGTTTCTGTTTTCATCAAGAAAACAGGTTTTGTGCTTCAAAAACATCTACTGTACTTAAGAAGCACCTGGAATTGGGGGCTCAGCTCTCATTAGCCTTTCCAGTCTTTTCTCAATATGATGGAAATTTGTAGTTCTTTTCATTCTTCTTTCCCTCTTTGGAGAGATCAATTTCTTTGTCTTGCCATCCAACAGGGAATGAGAAGATGGATAATTAGCTGGAGCTAACTAGTACAAGATGAAATCCAAGTGAAGGGAAGGTAGTTAGTATTTCTCACATGAATTAGGAGATTAACACGACATCTGACTTCCTCACATTCTTTTCTCTCGACTGCATTACCTTCACTAAGCTATTCATGCTAAATTGGGAATGCTCCTTTCCTCCTAGAGAAGATTTACTTTCCTGAGTTCCTTTAGCAATCACCCTAATTCACAGTTAACACTCCACATAAGCAGAAAAGTCAAAAGTTGTTTTAAAGGTATCATTAAAGACCATCCAAAGAGAGTGAAGACTTTGTAACTCACACAGAAAACAAGCATGTTAATCAAAACCTGAGGGCTCAGGAGGGAGGTTTAATCCATGCTTCCTTTATTTACCATGGTATGACATGGTCATTAACACTCAAATACTCAGTGTGTTTATCAGATTCTGACCACAGCTGAAACAACATCACACAGTCTACACTTAGGCTACAGCTCGAAAATTTACAGATAGATCCTGGTATTTCAGGTATCTGAAAATATTATTATTTTTCACTTTTACTGCAGCAGACAATAGCCTTACATCCGTTCATCCACAGAACAATTTCCAGCAAGTTTTTATATTTAGTTCTGTAAGAAATATACCAGAAAAACTGAATACCATGAGGAAAAAATCTACCACATAAATCTACCATACCCACACAAGATGATGTAACAGGACAGAAGACACATGCATTTCATGATTTTATACTTTGAGTAAATTCTATCCCTCTGCTTTGTTTGGTGGTAAGAAGAGGTTTTTTTTGCTTGTTGAGAATTTTATGAACAGTATGTCGGTGATGATGACCACCAAACAAATTTGATGGTGGAAAACGTATTTACCTCCTTTTTGCTAAATGCACACAGAGCTCAGAAGTTAAACAACCTTGCAAACATTTACTAAGCGTTAGAATCTAGAGCCGAACAAGGAAATTCAAATCAGCCAGACTGAGGTTCTCACCCACCACTCTGGAACAACACCAGCAGTGGTCTGATTAAGGAAAGACGTTGATGGATTCTGAAGGAGGTTATACCCTGACTGATGGAGAAATTAACAGACTGAGTGATGTAAGTCAATCTAAATAACTGCAACCATCTATTAACACGTGTGAACATGACTAATTGGCAAAAGGTGAGAAACAGAAACCTGAATCATGAGAAGAAGAGATAAGCTGGGAACAGGGCAAAATGCCAAGATGACAGTAAGAAATAGAAAAATTAAGACCTTGACCTACCCAAATGGAGTCTACACATGCCCTGCTCTGCCGTGACCATGGCAATCATTTTGCATCGTGGACCTAAAGCTCAGAAGCTTAAAATTTTAAAATTTTCCCTTCCTTAATGTTTTAATCTTTCTTTTTAATATTCACGACCAAGTGTAACTGACTGTTCGTGACTAAAACAAGACCCTAAAATCCCTTCTTCCATAAACCAACGATAAAATCTGAAGCTGACCCATTAGAGAGATAGTTTCCTTTACTGGGAATGTCAGAGGAAAGGGAGATGTGATTAAGAGGAGCTTTTGTCTCCTGGCATCACCATCCTCTCTCCAGCAATACCTTTTACCAGAAGACTTAAAACCAACCAAATAAATGCAAAGATCAGGACACACCCATAGCTCCTTCTATTTCCAAATAAAAAGTACTTAATTCCAGAACCATTAGACATTTCCAAATCACAGCAGATTTTCTGGAAGAGAAGAACTAATTTCCAAACAGTTTCCATGGCAGGGAGTTAATTCCAGTCATCTTTTCATAAATCATGTGAAGGCTCTGGTTAACTTCAGTAGGATCTCCCATTTGGGCAGAATATTAAGTCCTAACTGAATGCCTGAAGGACAGGGAGGAAAAGACAGACTGCATCACATGAAAGGCATTCTAACTGTCCTTGTCTTTGTCACTACTGGCATCTACAGAGTCGACAGAGCAAGAGACTGTGAATGTTTTTAATAAGCTAACGTGCAGAAAAATTACTCTGCTGGTCAAAAGAGCCTATTAATCAGCATTCCTAAGCACAGGAATGCATCTCAGCAGTTAGCAATTTATCCTGGTGATTACAGCAATCTATTTGTGGTGCAAATGCCAAAAAGCAAGAGAGGTTTTGGAATGATTTTAGCTTGTGTTCTTTGAAATACAACACTGATGATAAAATAAACACATCTTTAAGAAAAAAGAAAAGCAGAATCATTAAAACCAGACTGAACTGGAATTTAGACCCATCTCCTCTGGTGTTTTAATTCTGGGCAGATAACAAACAAAGAGAGAAATAAAACATGGTGTAATACTCTGCCACCTGTCACTCTACTCATGCAAACTCTGGATCTGGGACAGCTTACAACACACTGAGCTACACCAATCCAAATTTTTCTTTTCAAAAACAGTTCACAAACTCAGGTTACGTCTTAGTGTTTTAAAACAGTAAACAATCAGGATATTGCGATTCTAGTGACCCTGCACCTTCCACTGACACACCACTGAAAAAAAATTACTATTTTTCTGAGCCTCAGTTCCAACCATCTAGAAAAACTGAAATGTTATCACTGATATGTTAATATCACAGATTATTACTGATGTTACGTGAGGCAGCTGAGTTGATCCAGCAGTTTGCTGGGTTAGAATAGTAAATGAAAGACATCTCAGTCTTTCTCACCCAATCTGGACCATGTGATTTTTCCCTCTTCTTTTACTGCACTTCTGGTTGCTTGCTGGACTCTTTTCCTGAACCAATTCAGCTTTCCAAGCTAACAGAACACCACTCTATTTCTCTTTTTCTGTGTATTGTTAGGTTATTATTTTGCTCGTGTGGTTAAGTGATCTGAGTTGTTCATAGAGGAGGTCAGGCAAGCACCACAACCAACCTCAGGGAGCAGGCAAAGACAATTCCACAGCTGGAGGGGGGAGTTTTTTGTCTTTTGAGAACAGATGTTAGATCTGCTCAATTCTTCTCACATCTTTTCACCCTAAATGGTAGGTGCATAAGTAACCTGCGCACCTGTTGCTTTAACTCTGGTGGACAGATTTTCCCACTAACAGGGAACTTCACTGCACCAAAACCAATGCCTTTAAAAACAACCCTCTCCAAAACTGCTGCAATTTATTTGTGAGTTAACTTTGGGAAACCACACGAATGCCTTGCAGGGAGAAACTGAAGTAAATAGCATGTGTAGCAATTAATAATGCAAATCACAGATAGAGGCATGAAACTGTAAAGGCATGCTGCATGAATCATGCCCATTCCTTGGCTGGGAATTCAGGGAGTGATTACAATCACAGCATAGACTGTTTATAGTAGGAAGAAAAAGATGACACCTTTCTCTGCATTCCCCCACACCCACAGCACCCAAATGAATCACTGAATTCAAGTGCTACTCTACCTGATAGGTCACTGCTTTCAATTCTCCGCAGGTCTGAATCAGCCCAGAACAGCTTGCCCAGCTGGCTGTCGATAGCTAAGGCTATGGGCTTGCTCAAGCCACTGAAAAAAAGGACTTCTCGTTCCGTTCCATCCAGTGCTGCTCTCTCAATTTTAGGAGACCTTTCCTGCAGGTTGGTGAAATACATGTACCTGGAACAGGAAGGATTAGAGGAAAAATGTTTATTTCATCTTCATTTTTGCTATAAATCCAGGACATCTTAACAAACGCCAAAGTTGGTTTTATTCTGACAAACAGAAACCAAGCTGCAGCAAAAATACCCAACTTGCTTCTACGTACCCTTTCTCTGGATTCACCACAATGGCTCTGGGCCTGTCCTGATCTCCCTTGAGCACCACTCCCATGGCTCTGCCGTCCAGGCGCGTCACGTTGATCACGTTCGTGGCTTCGCAGGTCCAGTAGATGTAACGGCTGTAGATGTCGATGCTCAGGTCGTAAGGCTGCATGTCCAAGTTCTGGTTGGGAACTGGGCTGGTCACAACAGTGAGGCTCTGCAAAGAAAACGTGGGTAACACACAGAAGGACATTTAATCTTCATAGAACACGGATAATTTTATTTGGTATGGCCGTACCATGTCAAACTACTGTTCAGAAAAGGGAGATGACCAAAACACTACCATAAAGTATGGCAGAATAAGGAGAAACCCAGGTCCTGTTATCCCACCAACACCTTTGATAACATACAGAAACTTGGTCCTAACGGTTTGTTGTAATGGCAATCAGGTAAGCTGATTGCAGCTCGCAAGACTTCACAAATTTGACCAGTAAATCCAAACTGTGTTGAAAGTCCAGGGTCAGCTTCTGTATTTCCTCTGCTTTTCTGACAGCTCTTAAGTTCAGTTTGGATAGACCCAAACCCAGCACATCTAACACTCTACAACAGAAATACATCCCCATTAATTTCCAAAGCTGCAGCTGAATGGATAAAAACACGGGCAAAGGGAGGCCAGACAACACTTGAAATTCTTGCCTCATTCTTCTCCACCACTGCTGCCATCTCACTTGGGGGACAGAAGGGTGAATAGGAGAATTCTCTCTCTGCCAGAGACAGAAAGGACATCAGCCACTGTATGAGTGACTTCAGAGCATTTCCAGCTAATACCTTACTACTTCAAAGTTCTTGCCTTCCACTGGTCTAGACTCCTGGAGTCAACATGCCTTTTTTTTCTTTATTGTTATCTTTAGAAAGAACTTAATGAACATCTTTCATGAACTTTTCCAAAAATCTGAGGAGGATTAGTAAATTACTAAACGTGGGTCACATAATCTTTTCGAAAACATGCTTCTGAGGTGAGCTGCTTTCATTATTTCATCCCCAAATTAGACTTCACCAGGAAATCTGCCTAACTTTATTTGACTTGTCACCTCTATGAAACGGTGTGCCTTCAAGCCTTACATTTGTTTATTCTGCTGACACTGGCAAACACATGATGCCTGATTAGTTTTGGGTGTTATTTAGATATTCCAAAATTAAAAGCATTGCTAAATGAAGAGTTATGGCTGAGGGGTGTTCAGCAGAATCCAGCTATCACCACATCCACGACGAGAAACCACACTCCTAAAATTAAACTGACTATAGCACATCTGTGCTATTCACCTTCATCTCCCACTCCTCCCATATTGAAAAAATCAGGAAGGTAAAAATGCCTATTTTAAAATGTGAATAAAGTGTGGCAAGGTTCTGGTAGGGGAGAAGGCTATAGGGGTGACTCCTGTGAGAAGCTGCTGGAAGCTTCCCCCATGGCTCCAGGATGCACCTGCTTTGGCCAAGACCAAGCCCAGCAGGGATGGTGGGAGTGATAAATGTGATTTCATATTTAAGAAGGGAAAAAAGTTATTGGGCAGAAGTAAATGTGGCCAGAGAATACAGGAGTGAGAAATATGTAAGAGAAACAGCCCTGCAGGACACCAAGGTCAGTGAGGAAGGAGTTAAGCCTGGGAAGGAGGGAGGGGGGGGGGAAGGTGTTTTTAAGATTTTAGGCCTCATTATCTTACTCTGATTTTGATTTGCAATAAATTCGATTAATTTCTCCCCGTTGAGCCTGTTTTGCCTGTGATGGTAACTGGTGAGTGACTTCTCTCTGCCCTTATCTCAGTCCATAGGCCTTTTGTTGTATTTTCTCTGTCCTGTCTCACTGAGGAGGGGAGTGACAGAGCATCTTCAGTGGGCACCTGGCATCCAGCCAGGGTCAAACCACCACAACCTGTATTACCTTTTGCCTTCTACCCTACTCTACCTTTTCTGCATTCCCCTGTCAAATCCATTTTCCCAAGCTTGCTCCATCTCTTGCAGGTCACTAGTTTCAAGCTCCTCACTCAGTGTTTTACAGAAACTCCTCCTGTCTGCAGCAGAGCCTGGGAGGCTCCACACACAGCTGTGTGCTCATAAGTCCCCCCTTCTCCATCTGAGAGCCATTGCCTGTGCACTTTTCTTGCTCACACACCCCTTTTCTCCCAAGAACTTTCCCCTCCATGTTTCATATCTCAAGCAAGGGCTTCAAACAGCTTCCAGACAAACGACAGCACCGAGCAAACAATGCACCGTTCACAACAGTATCTTGGAGCTGGCCTTGGCTTTCCATCATTTACTTCTTGCTGCAACCTCCCAGATTTACTGACTGAGGGACTCCAGAAAACTCCGGATGCCACTCGCTTTGCCAAGTTGACATTAACCCTACAGGAAAGCCGTGTACCTGAATTATTCCCATACAATCAGTCCTTATTTGGCCTGATGTTCAGCAGTGCCATCCCCATACCTGGCTGCCGTCTTCCTGCGCCTTGCGGATGATGTTCTGCCGGGAGTCGATCCAGTACAGCTGCTTCTCCAGGGGGTCGTAGTCGATGGCTCGGACGTTCCTGAGGCTGTGGATGGGGAGGATGATGTCCGGGCTCTGCTGCTCGTCGATCACCATGCGATTAATCGCGTTCTTCTGACTGAACAACAAAAACGTCGTAGGAGCTTGACGGGGTTAAAGGCAGAAAGGGGGGTGGAAGGGTTACACACAGCAATAAAACTGGACACTTTGATGTTTAAGAATGACAACAATTATACATAACCAGTAACAGGACCTGTTATTTCATTCCCCTTCTCCCTCTTCCTTTGCCAGAAACAAGCAAACCCCCAAAATAACACATAAAAATCCTGACCTCCAATGAATTTGGAAAGCCTTCCAAATGCTCTCTTTCTACTATAAATGTCTGTACATGTATGTGACAGGCAAAGGTAAATTTTATAAGTGGGCAGACTAATGAATGTGAAGACTCCTGTCAAAATCACCTCAAAGAAGAATGGTCAATCGTGCCTCTCAAAGAACTGTCCATTTTCTTTCTAAAGGAGCCTTAGGAAGTTGAACCCTCTGCCAGATACACTTCTACTTGCAGAGGAAGGCGAGAAAAAGCCAGCACTGGTTCCTTTATTTAGAGGTTTCATGGAAAAAGAGATTGACAGTGGTTCAGTCCTGTTCCCACAAACCTTCTTTTTGCCTGCACTGGAATGAAACAAAAACTAATTCGCAGGAAAATCTCTTAACTGTGTGTGAGGCTGTGTTTTTGGAGAAAAATGTATTTGCTCTTCTCAAATCTATGTATCTTTATTATTTCTAGGTGCTTATCTGGGAATAATAACCAAAAAAAAATAAAAATCTTATACTCTGCTCCACATGCCCAGCAAAAATTTTCTGGACAGATGTTTTTTTCCTTGGAAATGCCATTTTGCTGTAGTTTACCAGCTGTACATTACAGTAAGAGCACAAAGCACTTAATGCATTGTTGAAAAAAAAATTCTCTCTCCATTAGATAACTGGGTCAGAAATCAGAGGAGATGGTTAAAGCATTTTCCCTTTCAGAGGGTTCTTTTTGAGAAGGGTTCTTCTTCACCTGCAGCCACTGCTGTGCAAGATGTCACAAGAACCAGTAGCCAGAAATGCAGTTTGAAGCCTCCCTGAAGTTTGTACAATCAATTCTCTTACAGCACAAGCCTGGAGAGAGTTTAGCAGTAGGAGTTCAGAGTTTAGCAGTTTTGCACTTATTTACAAGCCTGTAAAACAGGTAAGGCAGCACCTGGGGAAGGGGAGGAAGCAAAAGTCTCCTAGAGAACATCATCACCTTGCTTTGTTATTTTAGAATCCGCTTTGAACATCTATTCTGACTGCTGGGAAAAAAAAAGGCAGAGAGGAGTTTCCTTGGTAACTAAAACACAGACCTAACATCCTAAACATCCTAGAACAATCAGGCCTAATTGCAAGGCACTTCTGCTTTCTGGAAAACCTGTACTTTCCCTCCAAGTGTTGTCTCCAAAGAGCCTAGAACTGCACCGTGGGGAAATGGTTCTATTTGCTCCCAATGTCTATTTTCCTATATTTTACTCCTTCCTTTGTTTCCAAGAGCACTTTCACAAGCAAACACGACCTTTGATCATCTTGCTACTTATTCTCTGCTGGAAGTCAAATTCCTCCACCTCCAAAATCCCAGTCATCACCAGAGAGGTGCCAGCCATGCCTTTAACTCGCATGCCTGTGTGAGAATGTCAGGAGTGCAAGAATCTGGCTGTCATGCCATTGTCATTACCACTGCAATCAAAAGGCAAAGGAGAAGTACAGGATGCATGGGGGGGTGTGGGGAAGCAGAGTTCTTTGAAAAGCATGGTTTTCAAAAAATGCCATGAGGTGGCATTCGTGGGACGATCTGTCCTGCTTTTGGCTTTAAAACAACAGCTGGAGCTCTCTACTCACGCATAATGTGGACAAGATACAATCTGTCTCTCTGTACCATGAATCTCTTCACCCACTGACTAATCTGAATGACACCAGTGGAAATCAGCCACCCAGCGTGGTTGCCAAAATTATGACAGCTTCGCTGGCAGCCCGCTATTGAGAGATGGATAAATTATTTGGTTAGAAACTAATTACACGCAGCCTGAGGGGCCTTGTGGTTCAAATTCTGCACAACAATTAAAAAAAAGGGGCTTGGCTGCACTGAGATCAGAAATCAGACTGCTGGGGAGGCCGTGGAGCCGAACTCAACTTCTCTGAGGAAGGAACACTTTGAGGTGTGACAGCAGCCCACCTCAGCATCTCATCAGTCAGAAAACACTGCAACCACAGAATTAAATCCTGACCTCCTAAAGCCTGCACAACATCCATAATCCCCACCAAACTATCCCATATCCTTTATGTCAGACAAGACTTGAAATAAATTAGCAGATAAACAAACAAGCAAGCAATCACTTGAGGAGGGTATGACAGACATACAAAACCAAAAGCATTTTTAGCCTTCCTGTTTAAATAGATAATAAGTATAACACTTGCATCTGTTATTAAACACATGTGCTTCTCCATTTCATTTTTCATTCATTATGGCTTACCACTGCAGGTCCTGTTGTCAGAGTTGAGGGAATAGTGAGCTGGGCAGCCACAGACAAAGCCCCCAACAGGCACTGCCAAGCACAGGTGAGAGCAGTGGCCGTTGCTCGAGGCACACTCGTTCCAGCCCGCCTGCCTGGAGGAATGGAAGACCAAGATGTCCATCACGTAATCCAAGTGCCCCTGGATGATGGTTCGGTTCTGGCCACTGGTCTTGTTGGCCCGCTCGATGCTGCGCCGGCTCCAGTCTGTCCAGTAAATGTAGTCCTGGTACTGAGTCAAGCCGAAGGGGTGAGGCAGGTCATCAGCTATGATCTCACGGTCGAGGCCTGGTTCCAAGAAGGAACAGAGAGAAAAAGCAGAGTTATATGTGGACAAACTGAAAAGAAAGATTCTGTCCTTTCCCTCCTCCCCAAAACAGACGGGGTCCCTCTCAACTTGACGCAGGATCCTGACACTGCATCTCTTGCACCACATTTGGGTCTCTGCCCACTGCTTACAAAATTAAAACTGTTATAAGCTTAATGAAATTCTCCGTTGCATGATGAGACAAATTAAATGCATGAGATTAAACTATCTTGTCTCTGCAATGTCACAACAGGAATGAGCAATCAGAAAGCCAGGACAGGAAACAGTTAATTGTGTACATTGTAGAAATGTTAAGAGACCTTAAGGTGCAGGGCATGGTGGGGGGGAATTTATTTATACCATGTTATATCAATCACTTCATTCCCACAGCACCTCCTGCTGTCTGGTCACACAAAATGAATGGGAGATGATGAAGCAAGAAGTCATTCCCTCTTTGCACAGAGAAGTCAAGGGTGCACGGCCCCTCCTCTGCCGTCACCAGCCACGGGCACAGGGCAAAGGAAACTCAAATGCCATGTCTACGTCCACATTACACAAGGGACCACAGAGCCAGCCTCCACAGCACACCAAAGTAAGTAAGAAGAAGAGAAGCTTTCATATCACACATAGTTCCCATATTGCATTTTCCTGTTTTGAGCTTTTTCTATCTCCGTTCCACTGTTGCAGGCATACTGTTTAAAGCACACTAACTCCTTTATCCTTAAATATTGGCTAGTGTTAATGCTGATCTGAATAGTTTGGCACACAACAAGGCAGTCCACTCCTATGGGTAAGGAGAAATTAAAAAAAGATACTGTGCAAATCTGAGAGAGCCTGGGTCCTCAATACAGTACCCTGGGACAGGGAAAGAATAAAATATTCCACCTCCATTTAGCTGCACTGACCAGTTTATAAAAATCATCACAAAACAGCCCAGTACAAGACAACTCCCCTGCTGACAAGTACTAGCCAGGAAAAGGTCCTTAGCATGCAGAATAATGGGGGGGGAAAAATGCCTGGGGATACCAATAAAGATTTAAAACCAAACTGCATTAAATTACATTGTGAAAAATACTGAATAAGCTGTTGTCATCTTGGCTTTCTCTCTGCCTTTGTCATGTATTTGTCAGTTGCTCTTCAGAGTAGCAAAACAAGACCCTCCAAAACACCGAAGGCTGACAGCTTTGCCCCACATATAACTGGAAATACGTACAGCTTGTATAATTTTAACGTTCCGAGCAACTCTGTCACCTACAAGAAAATTGCTAAATGTTGGGTTACATGAACAGGGATTACAGAAGCAAATGTTAAAGCCTCGCAAGTTCAGAAGGTTTTTTGTGCGTCTTTGCGTTATTTAAGCAACGATTTGCCACGAGGAACACACGGAAGAAGCAGCTGCATCCTCGTGGTGCCTCGCAAGGCTCTGAGGCTCACCCAGCATGTTGGAGGATTCTATCAGGTTGGTGTCGAGGTCGGTCCAGTACAGGCGTCGTTTGGCGTAATCGATGGTCAGGCCGTTGGCACGGCCCACGTTTGGCACCAGAGTGGTCCGCTCGGTGCCGTCCATCGCAGCTCTGTCGATCTTTGGCTTGCCACCCCACTCGGTCCAGTACATGAACCTGATTGGAAGAACAGAAGGGAGGAAAGAATTCACATTTCACCCAAGAGAACTCAGGGGGAGAAACAAAACGAAAATCCTCAGCAAGACCAAGAAATGGGTTTTTTCAAAATGCAAGCAAGGAAGTGACTCAAGTTTCCTCAAAATGCTTCCAACAGTATTTTTACTGCTTGGACCTGGGTTTTCACCTGCAAGTTCTGTACTTCAGTACTTCACTAGTAACTAATCCATGTACAAAAAGGTGGCAGTTGGGCACCTTCATTTACACCCAGTTATTTAGCAGGATATTTTTCCATGGCACTTATCTTCTGTTTCTAGTCAGCTGTCTGTCGAAGGAACACAAAAAGGCAGGTATCCAGGGTACTTTTGTTAATAGATGCCACTGCTCATCTCCACACAACTAAGCCAATCAGCCGTGTGACAAGTGTGTTACACATCAGCCAAGAGCAGAATAACCCAAAATTGTATGGCATTTAGAACAAAAGTACAAACTATTACACACTCACATGCCCGTTTACGCCTCGTCTGCCAGGACAGACTTGTACATATTTACATTTTCTTTAGGCACTGTACAGTAGAGTAAGCTGTATACTTGATGACTAGTTAGTCACTTCTTCCAAAATGTAAAGCTGATATCCTTCTACAAACAAGTGGAATGCAGCTCACATGCAGTGTTTACACCCTTCTGCTTTTTAATACCTCTAGTAACAAACACCTGTGAAGTCTCTCAGTTCCAACCAACTGCACAGTGAGAAAAGTTGCTTCAAAAACTGATGATCAAGGGGGAGTCTAAAGAATAGACACTATATAACCTCAAAAAGCTTTTGCAGTGATTAGTTAATGTCAAATGAGCATTTCATGGTAGAAGAGCTGTTTCAGAAGGTGAATAGTTTACCTTGCCTTGCCCTGCTCCTTCCTTCCTCTCTCTGCTTATTGCCCTACTTCTGCTTTTTGCAATGCACTTGAATCCAACTGAGAAGTTTCTCCTCAGGAAGTCTTTAATTTTGGGGATAGGTGGATATAATTGTTTCCTCTCCTCCTCTATCCCCGCTTCCCTTGTCCATGCCAACTAAAAAGGATCCCTAATCTGAAGAGACAAACACCTTCCTTATTCTCAGACTATAACCTTCCCTTCCCCACTCTCACATTAAATCCTTTAATACCTTTATGGACTCTAACTTGTGATAAAAAGAATCCTAATTTTAAAAATGATAAATATATTCATTCCAATACTACAGTCCTTTTCTAATTAACAAATTCCACAAACCTAAAACTACTTTGATTCTGTGGTTAACTTAAAACCTAAATATAAATCCCTTTTTATTGGGGAGGGGGTTGTTCTGAATTTTTTTCGTTTGTTTGGGGTTTTTTTAAAAATTCTTATCCCCACACAGTGCCTCACTAACATGCCCCAGAGTAAGCACTACAATGCTGCTTTTCACTGGTCATAAACATGAAATTAAATCAGCAAGTTACCCCTCAGCAGGGTCCAATGCCAATGCCCGGGGGCTGTCTAGATCTTTCCACACCAGCACCTGGCGATGCTGCCCATCCAGCTTGGACACTTCTATCCGGTTTGTCCCAGTGTCAGCCCAGTACAGGTTCTTCCCCAGCCAATCCACAGCCATGCCCTCCGGGTAATCCAGCCCAAACTCCACCACGTGCTCCAGCGCGCTGCCGTTCATGAACGCTCTGCTGATGGTCTGCGGGGACACAAAGACACACGGGCAAATTAGAAATGTTACCAGTCTGTCACTGGGCTGGTTGTTTTCTTTTGTTGCATTTTAAAACACTTTCAGATTTCAGGTATCTCCTAGGAAAGAGGATCTTACAGCACGCTACTTATTTGCAAAGCAAACAATGCTGCCATTCAGAAATGATGATTTACTGTGCTCCACGGATGTTTTCTGTGTCAATTACAATGGCATCTCACGGGGGAAATCAATGGCATAACTAGTCTGGTTGAATTAAGCAGTCTACATGCCAAAGTGACCTTCATAGCACAGTGCCAACTTCGAGGGGGAAATATTTGGGCTCTCCCAGGGCTGTATAAAAGCATCAGTGTTATAGCATGGAACACCATTTAATGCACCTGATGAAAAAGTTTAGGACAGAACAGCAAACACACGAAAAGAACCAAACTCCCAATGAGCTCAGTAGAGTAAGTGCCTCAGTACTGATGGTTAAATTTAATTTCACTAAGCAGAACTGCTTCTTGGACTTTTTTTATTCAAAGGATTTTTTTTTTTAACTCTTTGCCATCAGGATCAGCCTATGATAGCAGATACGGCCAGAATTATATTTTAAAAATATATTAGAGCCTAGGCAGTTGGAAGTAAAGGACTAATGTTGGGATGGTACAAAATTCTTTTGGCAAACATGGGCCACCTTTCTATGTCCTTAATATTCCTATCTGCATACACTCCTCACTCACAACCCACCAGAAGTTAACAAAAACTCTGATGGTTTTTTTTGTTTACTTCCCCATTTGAACACTGCCTGATAATTATGCCAGCTTGTGACATTACACAGCAGGGAAGTTTATACCTCAGTCTTCATCTGTACCCCTGACACAGCTCAAAGGAGTACCAGTGCCTAAGAGCTCAGCCAAGTCACCTCTTGCAAAGTCATTTAAACTCTGCGTTTTTAGCTTCGATGATTCTTTACTTGCAAACGTCCGTAAGTTATTGTTGGCACAGGGCTCAACTCAATTGCAGAAAAAGTCATTAAAAACTAAAAGCAAGCGAGTTTTAGTTTAAAAATATACAAGGCTCTATCAATATCTGCTCTCTGGATTATTAGAAGAGCCTTCAGTTCTTTTAACACCTTAAGAGAGAGTACAAAAGAGAAGAAGCTTCGCACATTTTCTCAGGCAGTACTTTTACCAGTAAACTTTAGAAAAAATAAGAGCTCTTGGCAAAAGTTTAAAGGGTAGCATACAACCAAAATAAAGCACCCAACAAAGCATGGAGGTAGCAAAGAAACCCAGGGTCACAAGTCCTGCCAGCAAAACTGCTCCAGTCTCGGCTCCTCTCTCAAAGGTCTGCAGGTCCCTGCCAGGAGTCTGCTCCAGCATGGGTCTCCCGTGGGATCACAGCCCCCTTCAGGCAGCCATCTGTTCTGGCACTGGGTCCTCCACGTGCTGCAGGTGGATCTCTGCATCCTCATGGACCTCCATCGGGCTGCAGGGGCACAGCTGCCTCACTGCAGGATGCACCACGGGCTGCAGGGGCAATCTCTGCTCCGGTGCCTGAAGCACCTCCTCACTCACCTTGGTGCCTGCAGAGCTGCTTCTCTCTCATGTTCTTACTCCTCTCTCCAGCTGCAATTGCTGTTGTGTAGCAACTTTTTCCCCTTAAATACTTTAACCCCAGAGGCTCTGCCACCGTTGCTGAGAGGGTTCAGCCTTGGCAAGGGGCAGGCATGTCCTGGAGCTGGCTGGCATTGGCTCTGTTGGACACGGGGAAACTTCTGGCAGCTTTTCACAGCAGCCAACCCTGTAGCCCCCTCACTACCAAAACCTTACTGTGCAAACCCAACACAAACGAATTCTAGGAGAGAATGCATGCCATTCTTAGACAGAAAATGCTCTTTTACATATCCCTTGGATTTTGTGACCTGCATTTGTCAGTCCCTTCTAAAGTATCTCAAGAAGTCTGTAATAGCTGAATGGCCAGTATGGAATAAATCCCTACCTTCAGTGAAATGTCAGTCCAGTAAATGCGATTGTCCGTCACGTCAAAATCCAGGGCGGAAGCCTCCTTGACTCCGGTGAGCGGAATAGCAACGTTGTTGTTGTTGGTTTCCAAGGAGATCCGCCTGATGTCCGCTCTCCGGGAGAACAGCAGGAAGGCCTCGGGGACGATGCAGGTCTTCATGTCGCTGATGAGCTCCAGGCCGATGGGGCAGGCGCAGCGAGGGCCCTGCGGTCTGTACAGGCACAGGTGGCTGCAGCCGCCGTTCTCCTCCGCACAGGGGTTGGTACCTGAGCACGCAGCAAGAGCAAAGGCAACCACTGCAACCTGACTCCAGGGGAAAGGTGAAGCTAGTCCTCACGTGCATCAACAACACCAGGAGTCTTTAACTAAACATACAGTTTTTCTCCTTGTGTTCTCTGAACAAACTGATTTTTGTTCATTTCCTGTAATGCTTTGGACAGATGTTACTCTACTTGGCTAGAAAGCCAGGGCTTGTTTTCCTTACCCCGTGAAACAAACTCAGCATCAGGGGAAAGGATCTGGACTCTTACAGCTACTGAGAATTCCAGTTCACAGCACAAGCACTGAAGCATGGTAAGTAAGCAAGCAAGTGTATGTTCTGCTGCTTTTCACAGTACACTGGTCCAGGTACATTCCAACAGCCCAGGTGCATTCCTAGAGGTGAAAAATTTGCAGCTCTGTTTTCACATCCATTCAATGGTCTCATCTCTCTAGGATGGAAGTGAAGCAGCTCTTTGCAATGCTCACTTGTGTACCTGCACATGCTGGAACTGGCCTACTGAGAGATGCTTGGCACTCAGTGAGTTCAATCAGCCAGACAGTTGGAAAGAGGGCTGCAATTAAAGCACACAGACCTCGGGGCATCCTGATAATGTGGCAGCAGTCATGTAAAGATACAGCTCAACTGCATTTGACTAATTTCCTGAAGTACAATCCACATGTGGCAGCAAGAAGCTGCAAGCCTGATCCACACAGCACAATATTCAGGTAAGGTGATGAGTTCTGTGATGCTACAGTTACACTGCTATCAGTGTCTGAATAGCCTGTGATAGCCAGTTTAAAGCTAGATCCTCCTTTTTTTACACCACAGACACTACAGGACAGGAAGTACTTCTAATTATTTTTTAAGATGATTTTCTAGTGTTAATGTGAAAATTACTTAACAGACTCAAACTGGCTCATTCTCAGCTTTTGCATACTGGGAGCACATGCTCAGACTGCAAGATGAAAAGCTGCTACAGTTGCAGGTTCATAAACAGCTAGCTGTTACAGAAAGAAGTTCCACTTTCCATGATCCTTCTTTTCCCCTTACTGGATCCAGGGCTGTTCCAATTCCCTAAGAAGCAGAAAATTACCAGTTTTGGGGTGTGCCTGGTTGTTCTCCAGCTTGATATTCTTCCCAGTTAGAGAACTGAAGCACCTCACACAAGACCTAACCCGTCCCATCAAACTGTTGCTGGTACTTATCATGCCATGGAACTGCATTCTGTCCATTCCTAACAAATCTGCAGAGCAGCACTGCTGACATGTCCTATTTCCTTTTCACTGGCCTCCTTAGGAGCCTAACTCACCGATTATTTGGCGCACATTGGTAGCTTTGAGGCCCATCAGGTCCGGCAGCTGGTCGATGATGATCTCTCTCTCCGCCGTGCGCTTGTGCACGCGCTCGATGCTGCGTCTCTGCCAGTCTGTCCAGTAAATGTAATCTCCCAACAACGTGAATCCAAATATATGAGGCAGCTTGTCCTCCACCAGAACTTTTCTACCACTTCCATCAGTGTTCATGACCTATGAACATATGCAAACACAAACTTATTAGGCATATAGAATAAATCCGCCACTATTTGTCAGATTAATAAAATAGCTGATCCACACTTAGATCTCAAATTAGGAAATAATTTCCTATCCATTATAATGCTATCAATGTTATACAGCATCCTAATAAAATAAAAGAGACTTTCTTAACAGGCACTTACTCTAAAAGCCATGGAGGATCCCTCATTTATAAGGCTAGTCTCATAAGCAGATCACAATATGAAATTATGACACAATACTCCTTACATTTGCTTTAGGAACTATTATTATGTAGCAGTATTTACACCTGTTACGCCTCTTTTTCCTTTCTGACACGAGTTTTGGGTTAGTTTTAAATGGGAGACACTGTTTTACAGGAATGAAGAGAAGCCTACAACGGTCAAGGAATTCTGGCTCAGCTTTTTGTATTCCACAGTCCCTCCCAAGTGAGCTCTGCCCAGGTTATAGAGAGCAATAAGAGGAGGCCCCACATAAATACTGGGAGTCAAACAGCCAAGACAATCTACAGAGTATATTTATATTCCCAAGTCTGAATAAGAAACCAGTCTTACATTCTTCAAAATTAAGTACATGATTTTTTTTTTTACTACAAGGAACAGTAATAATCTGTAAATAATTGCTTGCCTTTGATCAAGACACTTGAATTTACTGTGTCGTTTTTCTCTACTGCTAAAAAGGAGTAATACCTAACTTCCCCAAAGAGGCACTGAAAGGATTAATTAACATATGTTTGCATCTTCAAGTGATCGAGTACTTTACGAATGCCAAGTATTACTACAAAAAGTACCATAGTGACATGAATGAAGAGTCATGTGTTTTAAAAGAAGCTTAAAAATTATTCTGCTCATAATTACTTCATGGGATTGGCTTCCCAAAAACCTTCAGTGTAGCAGTGTATACAGTATGCTTCCACAAATGCATTTGTATCTCAAAAACAGATGACTTGTCTGTGATTACTTGTTTCCCCCTCCCCTTTAGACTACAGAGACAAGCCATTTGTTTGCAACTAATTAATGCATGGTAATTAGTGCTTGCTAAGCAGACTAAAAAGATGCACAGAATGGAAGGATGTTGTGAAGTGAATCAACTAAAACCACAAAGTAATAAGCAATAAAACATCACCATCACAAAGAAGTAACTTTAAAAATTACTTTTTTTTTTTTGCCTTGTACTTATAAAAGAAAGAAAATCCTCTATTTAAGGGAGTGCTTAACTCCTGGCAAAGAGAAGGTGTGGGATGTGAGATGAACTTTCTTTGGCAAACATTAAAACAAGAACTGTTCAAGTAAGCTCCCCCCTATCCTGAGGAAAGTCAGGAAAAGAGAAGGGAGGACTTAAGGATTAATTATCTGCTTTTAATGAATTTTTGCATTGACTCATGCAAGCTGTTTTGAAAGACACCTTTATGTCAGCTACACAAAACATGCACCTATCTGAAAGTACCTACACATACCTTGCAGTTGCTCTCACTGCAACTTTACCTGTGCAATCTTACTTAATATAAACATCTGCCCACTACCAGCCAGGTACCACCATATTTTATATATATATAAATATAAATATTCTCATATGTGTATATTGATTTTTAATTTTTTTTCCCATGGCACCATATTGTCTGCATTTACTTTGACTGCATTTTAGGTGATTTGAGTATGGATGACAGTTCATCCACAGGCTCCAGAATCAAGCAGTCTGGTGTTAAGGCAGAAGGAAAAGTGGCAAGGGATGTAGGGATGATACATACACAGAAACAAAGTAAAAAAGAAACAATCACTAATGAACCAGTTTCAAAGAATTTCAGCATCACCTTCTCGTACACTGAAATTCAGCCAACAATCAAGTCCCAGCCAATACTCCTTTATGCATTCCTACCCCATGTCCAGTTCCCCATGGGTCAGCTCATCACAGTTAAGCCTACCCAGAATCCCACAACCAAGAAACCTTCAGCTGCTCTGAGGCAGTGACTCCAGAGGTTTATGCTGCTTTTAACCACAATGTGGTGTGAGATTCACATTCTGAGGCCATTCCAATACTACAAACCACACTGGGAATAGAGGCTGCTAGAGGAAACAGATGTGGTGCAACCATAAACACCACCTCGACTGAAAGAGCAAATAGTCCCATGAAAGTCATGATAAAACAAAGCCCAAAAATTAAATGGTCTCAGAAAAAATACCAGATATCCTGCCTGTAGAATAAGGGTTTTTTTCATCCTAGAGTAATAATGAATGAAAACCTATGGCCTCAAGAAAATACAGTTTATTCAAAGTAAATTAATTACTGCTGAAAATGTAGTCACATTTTTAAGATGCTGTACTTAATGATCAGCAGGAACAATGAAATAACAACAAGCATTGAGTTCTTTCTCAGAATGATGGGAGCAAAGGAAGTCAATAGACGATGAAAATTTATAAACAACACCTGGGAACACTGTCTTCGAAAAACGAAATTACTGCAAGTCCCCAGCTATGCTAGAAGATGTTCCCAGAACTTCATTGAGTAAAATCCATAAACTCATCTAATTTCAGATACAAATATCTTATAATAAATTAATAGTAACTGGAACCTCAGCCCTGATTTTTAAAATCAACAGCCAAGTTCTGGACACATAACAGATACCTTAGCTGCTCTTGGTTCCTGAACTTCAGCATCTTTACTGGCACCAGCTCAGTGATCCTCAGAGAGGTCAGAACACCTAACTTAATGTACAGGGGCCTCAGCTACTCAAATACCTCTGCCATCACTGCACCAGCTCTGCGAAATTTCAAGTTTTACATGCACCATAGGAATAGATACAAACCGAAAACAGAGGTAAAAAGGTGAATTTCTCACAGGTTTGATCATAAACACTGCTCTGCTTAAGATGACTGCACAGAAGTATTACTGTAGAACAGCTGTGAAATGCTGAATTCAATACAAATAGCCTGATATTCTGATATACAGTTGGAAAAGATACTGAGCAAGGCTTGCATTATACCTGAAATAATTTAGGAATCCTCACAGGGTAGGCTTAGTTCCTTCAGCCCTGATTATCCAATGGTAAATACTTACACATGCTGTTTGATGAAAGGAATAATGACTCAGTTCATGGCACTGCTAATCAGGGATATGACTGTTCATTGTCCATCTAAATATACACGAATCTTACTTAACCAGAAGAGTGAAAGCCAACACCACACTCATTAAATTTATTTGGTTAAGGAAAAAAAAAAAGAAAACTGGGGCAGCATCTCTCTTAAAAGTAACTCTAAAAGACAGCTAGAATGCCTTCTAATCATCACATTAGCATTTTTACAAGCTGGGTTTGAGAATGATACATTTTCAACTTGCTTCCTTAAGCAACGTAAACAAACCAGACTGGAATGATTTTACTGTTATGAATGCAGTAGTTTCATATGATTAACACATCTAAATTTCCAGTTTTATTAGTCTTCCACTCTAACAAGAGTCCTGATCAACTATTCTCTCTTTGACTGGGCAACTGAAACTTTCAACTCAGTTTGAGGGAATTATTCTGTCAGTGTCATTAACTTACTGTTAACAGCATTTCCCCACAACTCTAAAATGTTATGGAATTAGATATTAAATTAGATTTAATTAGATATTAGATATTAAATAGGAAGTCATCTCTTCATTGCAGTAAAATCCTGAGGAAACGGCAGAAGAAACCCCTGGAACCCTTCAAAACCCAAATGCCTCCAGCCAACTCTACAGTTTCCTACTGTTAATTGTTTTATAACAACCATTAACAATTTCTAATTTAACAGTTCACCAGTACCCTCAATTTCCTTTTGAGCTCTCACAGTTTTTCTGAAGAATTCAAAATATATTTTTTTCTGAGCATGGATAATATTCCTAATAGGACTGCAGTGAAGATAAATATGTAAGAACAGAATAGAGATTAACTTCATAAATCCCCTTTCTATCATGCTACAGACACTGTTAAATGCTCATTTCTTTAACAGCAGGACAATTTTCTTAGTTCACTGATCAATCAATGTCAACAGAAATGTTTTCTCAGTGATGGAATTTAATTTTAGAAACAATTGGTTCAGTTTTTAATGAAATTACTTAAGTCAGGTAAAGGGACAAGTAGGCAATCTCATGCTTTACAAAAAAACCCTTGCATTTGTAAAGAACAGGTTAAGAAAAAAAATGAGCCAAATCAATGAACAAGATAAGATTTTGGGGGGAGGAAAAGAAGCTGCTCTGAGAAGATTCAGTGGTATAAACAAGTGAATAAAAATGCTTTGCCATGTAGGGGTAACAAAGGAAACTAATAACTGCATTTTGCAATTTATTACTTAGCACACTAAGACCTATGAGCACCAATACACAATGCTTTGCAGAAAGCAAATAAGACTAACCAAGACCAACCTGAATCCTCACAGTGGGTTTAGGGGACAGTTTTACAAGATTAAGTTTGGTAAAATAACTCCTAATGCTCTTGTACACTGGTGAAAGCCTCTGTTCTCTTCTTCTTTCCCAAGGTACTTTTTTTTAGTACCTTACCCCACAAACTAAGAAAGCTAAGTCAGACTCAGGGAGGTTATCTGATGGCTCCAGCTGTTTCAATTTGAGGAACTTCTGTTCAAGGTTTTTGTGCTCTAAAAAGCCTTAGCAGCATCTGCTTTCTGTTGTCCAGCAAGGCTGGGTTCTGAAGACTTTTGTGTACTTAAGCTGAGAAACAGCAGGATGTAATAGTTTCCATATTAATCACGGGGATTAGAGATGGTGATTCCAGGCACAGCTAATAGATTGGGGAATGCACAAATACTTCAAGTTAGAGCTGCACTCAAAAATCTCTAGATAATGGTTGAATACCTAAAGGAGGCCTTTCTTTACAGTAGCCACTAGTAGGTGTTACTGAGTGTCATTGCTGGCTCTAAAAATGAAGAACAGAAAAGAGGATAAATAAAGAAAAACGAAGCAAAGACTGAAAAACTGTGAGAAATCAGCCATATCATCATGACTTCTTAATGCACACAGCAACACATGCTTGCAGCCATTTAATGGCTTTATTAATATGAGCTTTGCTTACCATTTAAGATCCAAATTATGCCTTAAAACAGGTAGGGTGTGTGCAAAGACAACAAACACTCACTCGAGCAGGAAAACCTAAGACCTCAACAGAGCAGATCATCCATTTTTAACCTCACAGCACGGCAGGAAAACGCCTTCAACCTGTAGCAAGTCAATAAGAAACCTTCCCCACTGGCAGGCACAATAGCAGCCGTCCATTTCAATAGAAGTTTATCAGCAGTGAAACCTGAGCGAGATGAATGAGGGAGCTGTTGAGCCCCAGCCCGCTCCTGCCTGCTGCAGGCTGCCAGATAAAACGGCAACAAAAGCTCCCTGCTGGACCCCCTGCCGGCCCCCATTAACCCCTGCTGATGCTGCATTATCATCTGGGGGGCTCCAGAACACCATAGCATTCATCACTGGGTAAAAAAACCACAGTAATAAATAAATAAAAAACAAATAATAAATCCTCACATGGAGCACTAATAAACCAGAAATGTGGCTTGCAAGAAACGTGTGATTTGGTAGCACTGTGATGAATTCTACATGCAAGGGGAAAAAAAAAAAAAGGGAAAAAAGCAAAAAGTATGTAAAATCATGTACAAAAAACTACTTAAAAGTAGGAGAGGCAAGTAAAAAATGTGATTCTCCTGCTTTTACCCCCCTTGCCAAAAATATATACAAACACATAAAGCAAAGCAGGAACCAGGCATATGTTCTGATGTCACGTCCAATTCCAAATTTCATTTTTGGAACTTGTCACAAGTACCTTTTCTTTCTTGCACCTACACCAGTGTCCTTTCCTTTCTCCAAATATAAGTTTAAAACATTTATGGAAGGCCAAAGCATCTTCTGTTACACTGATACAAAAACTGGATAGCAAGGGCATGGAAAGTGCAATAACTCTCCTCAGGATCCGTGGCTCCCATAGGACAGGAGGCAGTGTGAACAAACAGGAAGACTCGAAATCTTAGTAACATTTTAGCAATCAGAGATTTTGATGGCGTCACTGCAGCCTGAGATATATTTCTGTAGCCTGTCACAACAAAGTTAATCTCTCATAAAAGACACTACATAAGATCCAGGGGGAAATTCACTGAGATTCCCCAATAAAGAAATTAATCACATTTGCATTATTTACATATGGGGCAGTGCCTCAGTTCTGAGCAGGAGAGGGTTCATTTCTGCAGGAGCCAGAAGGGGTCACAGCCAGGACCTGGAGGTTTTTCTGTCCCCCCTCACGTCATTGCCAGGGGAAGGGAAGTCTCATCCCAGGAGAGGGGGTTCCTTCTGGTGGAGTAAATGTGGTGGAAGGAGCCCTCAGTATTGTCTACTGGGCAGAGTGGGGGAGGTGAGTTCTGTGTGAATCAAGAACCCATGGTCTTTACCTTTTGTGCCTCCAATGCTTTCCTCCATCCCTGCTGCAGAGGGAAAGGGAAGAGGGGAGCAAGTGAGCAGCAGCAGCGTGGTTTGGAAACTCTCAGTGGGAGCACTAAATTGGGGAGCACCATTCCTAAATCACAACAGCCTTATTTGGCACCCCATGTGAGACTCCCAAGATCTGCCCAGAGCACGTTGGAAACAAATTTATCTAAGCATTTGTTGTATTAAGTACAGATATCCCACAGAACAGCAACAAAGCAATCCTGATCCTTCTCCCTGCTCTGGAAAAGAGCACTGGGATGGGCACATATGGGAATATATGCAGGGTCAGGTACCACATCCACGTGAACAGGCCAAGCAACACCGTGACCAGCGGTTCTGTACTTAATACAACAAATGCTTTACTGTCCCCAGTAAATTGTTCTTCTCTCTTTTCAGGTCATTTTTGCCCCTCTGAAGTGCAGTTAGCAGGCAGCAATACTGCATCTAAGGAAGGGCATGAAGATTTTCCCAAATCTAACATAACAAGCGAACAAAATCAAGACTCCCCAAACCTTCAGGGAATAGAATCGCCTCAAAGACAGGAAAAGAGAAACTGTAGGGGTTCAGTCCAAAGGTCCACCCATCCCAGTACCCCTTCTCAGAGAATAAACAGAGCTTACGCTTACAGAACACCATAATACATCAAATGCACACCAAAACTTTTCAAGAAGACTCTACCTTCTACAGCAATTTACACTTCAGTAATTTGTGGTTCAGAAAGCAATTCTAGTTGCCAGTAAACTGCAGTGGAATTCCCTTTCACAGACTTACTCAGTCCTCCCAGAAACACATGTAAGCTTTTAACATCTCTAGCTATTTCCACAACTTACCACATGTTTGAAGAACCATCTGCTTTGGTTTGTTCTGCACCCATCACCTCACATTAGTTACAAGGGCCAATTTCTTCTGTCAAAAAAGGTGTGCGTGTGGAAATGTCGCTCACCTTACACATAATTTTACAGATCTCTGCCATCTATGCCTAAATGAACACCTTCTGCAATTAAAAAAAAACATACCCACATCCTCAAACAAAACTAAAATCCAAAACACCAAAGAAAAACTGCAGGAGAATTTCCTCTCTGTTGCTTTAAAGGTTTTAGCCAGACTGTTTGAAGACTGACTGTACGTTGATAAGAGTTAACAAATGTTAACATTTTATAAGAAGCAGTAGCAGTAATATCATAACTCCAACACTTGGAGACCCTTAGGGGAAAAAAAAAAAACCCCACGAGTAACTCTGAAACCTTAGGATGATAAACCTTCTCTGATGCTCTGCACAGATGTCACATGGCAACCTGGAACAGACTCATTCTGCTGGCTTACCCTGACTGAAGAACAATGAAATGGAAACTGTCCCACAAGACTTTGTGCCAAATCAAATACCTTCTGTCCTGCCACAGACAGGCACAAACATTCTGTGATGTGTTCTAGCCACTCTGACAGAAGTGCAGCAGTGAGCTCACGCCTGAGCTAGGTGAAAATTTCTACACAAACTGATCCAGCATTGAAGAGAACCATTATTAATGAATAAGGAATCTCAGTGTCTTGGCAAACACGACAGCAAAGAATGCCTAACTATCCTTTTGCAAAATACATTCAAGTCCAAGAAAGTATAAGGGCTGAAGTGCTCGATCTGTTATTAATAAATCTCTAAGCATAGCTAAGACTCTTTTCCCCCTCTTTCCTCAGAGCTGCTGTAGTGTTAGGTGCATTACAGACTGTAAATCTTGCTTTCAGGACAAAGAAAACTCTGCTCCCTGGGGCTTTCCCAAGGACTTCCTCAAAGCAACTCACCTTGCAGGACTGGAGTTACTTTGGCTCTGAAGAAGAACAAACAATTATGTGACCTTTCAGCACATGACTGTGACTTCACCTTGACCGATTCGCAGTTATAAAGAAGTAAAAACAATTTGGTAAGGCCACAAAACATATTGTGCCTAACAGAAGTGCTAAAAATTATTTGCCATAGGAGAGAATCCATAAGGAAAGCTATAATTCATCAAAAGAAAGACAAATACACCAGGACACAGCAAAGGTAGCTGTGGTGTTACGATGCACCAGGCAGCACTCAAGTCTTCTGCTTCCTCAAGAGGAGCTTCTGACAGTAAACTGATGCAATACTAAACAACGCTATTTTCTCCAAGACTGACAAATTATAATAAATGTCAGATTTGTTTCATTCATGTTACACAACAAAATAAATGCCAGATTTTCAATGCGGGAGAGAAGAAAAAGTGTCCCCCCTTTTTTTCTTTTAATTGCGAGTTTCAACAGGACGTGCCAGAGAGAAAGGAAAATCTATCTCCTTGCTGAAACTCTAATGAACCAAGGGAGAAGCACAGTACAGAGGATTTCAGTGAGTACAAGCAACTCTATGTGACATGAGATTTATTTCTTTAAAATATGTTTTAGTAGCATCTAAGCTGAGCAGCGCAAAGAACGAAAGATGGATTTTTTTTTAAACTAAAAACATTAATCCCATTGAAAAGCTTTTTCCCCATGATGACCTAAGAATTGACTTATTTAACAAATCCTTCTCGCACATTTTTGCAAAGAGAGCTGAATATGAACACCTAAAAGAGTGGAGTAACTACATTCATGGAGCTTCACGGAATCAAAAATGCAGGTACAATTACAAACCTCTATTTTGTCTGTTTTGGCATCTCCCCAGTATATTTTGCTTTCTGCATAATCCAGTGCCAGTCCATTTGGCCAGCCAAGCGAGGTGTTCACCAGCACAATTCTGTCTGAGCCATCTAACGCTGACCTTTCGATCTTTGGGAGTTCTCCCCAGTCAGTCCAGTACATGTACCTGCAAAGGAAACGAAATCTTAAGAACTCTTCTTAATCCCAACTTTCAATATTCACATAGCTTCTTCTGGACTACTCTTCCCCAAACCACACAGCATGCAGAAAAAAATTACATTTCTAAAATAAATCTATTTCTTTACCTAGGTAAGGATGCCCAAACCATTCAGAAAGAACTGGCATGTACACACACTGCCCCTTTAAGCAAAGCTCTCTATATCAGTCTGCTCAGCAAGACAACATAACCACTGCTATTATCTACAGTAACTAAGCAGATCCACCCAGTGCCCAAAAATATTTTTAAAAAGAATACATAAAGGCACATAAGATGACTACCCTGGTGGTCAAAATAAAGCAGAAGTCTTTGTGCCTCAGAGATTTTTCACTTTTAGAGAATCCCAGTGTTTTCATTTTGAAGGCTCAGACGTTTTATCTACGTACAAGTAGACAGAGTATCTTCTCTGCATTAGTAATATTTTAATAACTGCTCACAAGCAGCCCCTCACCCAGCCATGGGATCCAGCACAATCGCTCTGGGTTCTTCCAGCTCTTCCGAGATCAGTATTTTCCTCATGGTCCCGTTAAGCCTCGTGACTTCGATGCGATCCGTGCCCGTGTCCGTCCAGTACAGGTTCCGGGCGACCCAGTCGACGGCGATGCCGTCGGGGTGCGCGATCTGCGCCGTGACCACGAACTGGCTGCCCGAGCCGTCGATCAGCGAGCGGCGGATGGCGCGAACCTCGTCGTCGGTCCAGTAGATGTATCCCTCCAGAGGGTCGAAGTCGATGGCGATGGCGTGGCGGATGTCCTCCAGCGGCAGGACGATGTCCGTGAAGTCCGGGGTGTCCAAGGAGATTCGCCTCAGGTCTGTCCGGCGGGCTAAAAGCAGCAGGGCGGTGGCGCCTGCAGGAGCGAGACAAACGCAGCCACCTCATAAACCTGGTCCTGGGCCGCTCAGAACAGGCTAGACCAGCTACCTCGATTTCACAGGACCTGACCAAAACCACCGGGCACCAGCAGGGAATGCCACTCCAGGGCTTCAGATGTGAGGCTGTTCTTCTGCAGAACAAGCCAGGCATGTTTATAGAGAAAATTCAGTGGTCATTTCCTTGGCCAGAATTTATCACGTTGAACATGCTTTCTATCCACATCCTTCCCTCCAAAGACACTGAAACAGACAGGTCGGGATGATGCTGCTTCTTTATGCAAATCAACAGATAGCCTGCAACTTCCTCAATGAAAAATCAATTATATAGACAATTCACTTACTGTTTGCTGTTGTTGGTTAAGGGACAATCTTGGCAAACAAGCTGCATGTTTCAACAATGCCTTAGAAGCAGAAAAAACGTAACACAGAACACCACAGGTAAATCTCTTTTGAGAAACTCTTATCAGAGCAATCAGATTTGGGAACAGACAAGTGTCCAATGACAGCCCACCACAGAGCAGGTGGGCTATCAAATTCTTCCACATTTGTTGAGAACAAGTTTATTGAAGAGATTAAGATAAATAACAGTGCCTTACAAAGTAATTTTGAGCTGGTTTTTGAGTCAAAGGCAGAATCACAATAAGTAACTAAGATCAGCTTGCACTGCAGAAGGTGTTTCCACATGGACAACACAGCAGGTTTAATGGTACTATCATCCACACTTACTGTCTAATCTAATTAACTTTCATTTTCTATTCTGCTGCTGGATTTCAATGTAATGAAGGATAAACAACCACCACACCCCGTTCCAATTAAAACTGGATTATCAGTTTGGAGTCTTAAGGAGATAAGAGCAGCTCAGGCCCCAGGGAACCTGAGCTAGGGTGAAAAATGCATGCAGGGCAAGTGTGGTGCAAGGGCTCTCCTTAAACAGAGGAAAGGGTTTGGCAGGGACTGATGGGGGGTGTAGGGAGGGGAAGGTTTAGGAAAAGAAATGCATGAACTTGCAGTGAAAATGAACAATCACCAAGCCACATTCTGTCCATGCCTCGATCTTGATCTTAAAGAGGCATAAATATGGCCCAGAAGACTGAAAGAGCAACAACCAAAGTCAGTAGGTTGGTGATGAAAGGAGAATTTTGGTGTCTGATGCCAAATTTATTTTTTAAGAAGACAGTGATTGATGTTGGTGCTAGTTGAAACCTCATTGCATGCCAAACTTTGGAGAGATGCCAAAGCAGCCATTGCTTCATTTACAGCAGGTTTATTGTGTTAAAAACATCCAAGACACTTTCACAGTGCTGCAAGAAACAGCACCTTTCAACAACTGAAGTTGAGAATATTATTACAAGTGTTTCTGATTAGTAACCTATCATGGATTAAGATCAGGTTTGGGATCTTCTGCTCTAAAACCCCTTGTGTTCAGAAATATGGTCATATGAAGTATTAGTTCATAACTAACCCAAACACTTTAGGTTCAAGTAAGGAACAAACCCCTAGTAGTTTTTCTTGCCAACTTCCTGGTCATTTGTCCAAGTTACCTTTTCAACAAAACAATTACAGTCATAGTAAAAACCCCAAACAATAATAACTTTTTTGCATTATGAAGTAAAACTAAGGTTTAGCAAATGCACTAACCTCAGAGTTTGAAACAGTTAAAAAGCCATACATTGTCTACCATACTACAGAAGAAGTATAAGGCATAATTTAAAAAAAATTTAAGTGTTCTAGCTGAAGTTGACAATTATTTTAAAGAACCAGTGCCAGGTCTCCCGAAAGACTCAGCTGAGTATAACCATGCCTTTTCTGGAACTCTCCCTTAAAACTGACCAATTGACCTTCCCATTCTTCTCAAAGACAACCCATTTCAGCAGCTCCAGTATCCCACTTTCAGGCTGCAACTGCTGTTTGAGTGGAGTAACCCACTGTGTTTAACTCAGCACTGGGAAATGATCAGCTTTCAGCCAACCCATCTTGCACTCCGGAATCCCAAGCCAAGAATTTCAAGGTCTTTATCTGGAGGCTTGGACAGCATTCCAATCCCTCCACCAAACACCACTCCTCACCCCTCCAATCAGGCAACAAAAAGTTGAAAGTTTACTTTAGAGCCATCACCCAATTTGCAAATGAACAGCTCAGCTGCCTCGTTATATCAACAGTCACTCTGTCCAGAGGAAAGAAACCCAGCAGCAGAGAAGCATCTCCCCTCAAGGCAGGCTGAGGGAAAGATCGTCCTGTGTACCTTCAGGCTCGTCCTGACAACAGCAAAAACAACAAATGCAAGAGCTGGGCCTGTTTATGGACTGATCCCATCACCACCTGGATAGCAGTCAAGGAAAAATAAAAACCCAACAGGACAGCTGGTCTCAAAATTGTGACAAACACCAGCCGTGCAAAATTTACCTGGCTAGGCACTGATCACCCACCGTTCAGTGAGAAGACAAGTCACAGGATATCCCAGATAGCTAGCAATTTTTTGAAAATCAAGTCACTTAACTTGTCTAAATGCTCCAGACCCTTAGTTTGGAGAGCTTTAGCCTACTTTTACTAAGCACTCTGAAAGCTGGGATTACAGGCTTACAGATGGTACGTTACATTAGTCCTGGAACAAATACTTTCCTCAAAAACTCACCATTAAAATTCTAAATAATTTAAATCTCTGAGCTAGCTGAAGTCAAGGGAAGGGGGAGAAAAGGGGAAGCATGCAGATACATGCAGTGGCATAATTAGAAGTCCAATGCCCTTCTAATCTTTCGCAATTAATTACTTTTCCTTAATGATATACAGACCTCAGTCATTTGTAAGTTCCTGAAATGTAAAACATCAGTGGTTGCTGAGCTACACAGACACATGCTCAGGAATTCATACATAAGAAGTGCCAGACCCAAGACATGTATAATGCATTTTCTGTATCTGAGAAATCAAGATTATTTATACATCCCCAACAGAATTACTTCACATTCGGTCCAAAACATTTAATTCCCAAATGTCTTTCCCCAGGTGTAAAGTCACTATTGTGAATGATCAGCATCCTTTGTCAGAATAAAGACTTTTTTTCCTGGAAGAGAACAGAATGGCCAAAGCAAGGCTGAAATCTAAGCCTGAAGCAGTGCTTTTTCTTCCTGAGGAAACTCACACCTCCTTGCTCAGCTGAAGTCACCATCGGTTCTCTCAGTACAAACCACGTATTTGTACTGGCAGGAGCAAATTCAAGACACAAGTACATTCCTTACTGGCAAAGACAGGAGCGGAGCACGTGGATGGAGAGATCTTTAAGCACAAATAAGGATGTAACTCCAATGACAAACTAATTTCTGTAAGAAAATTTAGGTTTGTTTTACAACCATTCAAATGTAGCACTGCCAAACTCAGAACTCAAATACTGAAAAAGAGAAATCCCCAGTATGTTCTGCAGAAGGACAATAAATAACTAAGAATATGACAAGAGGAGGGAAAAACTCCCTGGCAGAAGTGCCTGGGTGCTCAGAAAGGACGTTTTGCTTTGGACATTACTGATGGAGGAATATCTGGACATGAAAAAACTTACTCTGCCTCATTTCTCTTTGAGGTACAGAGATTTACAAACTTTCACCTAAGCAATGGGGGATCTAAACCTTGCTACGAGCCCACACCTCAGTTACTTAACTGGTTTGATTCATATTATAATTTATTAGAAAAACAGATGATTTTATTCTAAGCTATCACCCTTTCCTGAAACACTGTGGAAAATTGTTTCAAAATTGTGTGTGTGTGTGTTTGTGTGTTAGTGTGTGTTATTGTATTCACAGATCTTACAAGAAATAGTAAAACTCCTCTAGGGTGCAATGATAAACCCAATAAAAATCAGAGAAAGTAACACTGCGAGAAAGGCAAGGGAGGAAAAGACTTCCTATAAACCAAGATTATTCAGAAACGCTGGGTTGTCATGGAAACTGCTCGGGGAGGTCAGCCAGCCTCACCTTTGGCTGTCAGGATCATCTGTCAATGCTAAAGCACTGCAAAAACACCACAAACACACTCAAAATTCACCCGTCAGAATCTCTCCAGTCCGGGCCAGTACTCTCAACAGCGCAGCATGAAATTAGGTTCTCTCCTCAAAAGGGCTCATTTCATCACGAAACAGTTCAGTGTAGGAACCAGTCTGATTTTAGTCTACTACTAGAAGGCAAAACCATCTTAAAGAAGAGAAATTCAGCGTCATTTTTCATCTTCCTTCGCTTACAGGTCAGCAGTCAGTCCCTCCTTCCCCCCAGTCACGTACATGTTCTAATTGCCAACAGAGATTTAAACCTGAATATCCTGAGCTGGAAGGGACCCCTCAGGATCATCAAGAACAACTGCTGGCCCTGCACAGGACACCCCAAGGAACACACCACGTGCCTGAGAGCATTGCACAATGTCCAATCCAGAGCAGTGTTATTAAAGCTCGTTCCTTAGACCAGTGGAAATGGAAGAAAAACATTTTGTTTGCGAGAATTTACCACTGCACAAACAATCCTGCCAGGCTAAACTGGGAGCTGTTCTTTCACATAAAAGCAGCAATTTGTTTTAACACTCAGAAATAATCAGCAGAGAGCATGGAATAGCATGAAATTAAAGAAAACGCTGAACAGCAGCTGACAAACCTAGAAGAATTTTCAAAATACAAAACTCCAATTAAAAAAATGAATTCTGTATATATTTAATTTAAGCTATTTACACTCAGTTCTGCTGCATCATTTCTTCCTCCAGTTACCTTTGACATAAAGAGGTGACCTGCATAAAAGATGGTTAATTATGAGCTATATAATTATCTCCCAGCGTTAATTTTGATTGTTAATGTATTACAGCAATCACAGCTCAACATCACAAGACCTATACTTCAAAAATGTAACAATTTAACATCACATACATTAATTCACAATGAGACACTAAAAGCAGTTTTGCATGAGTGCTTGCAGCATTGAATCTTGATCACACCTTGAGTTTTAAGGCTGAAACACTTTCAGCACCCCTAAGAACATGTCATTACTTTCACTTCTCTACAAATACAGGTGTCTATGTCTATGAATTGAAAAGACATTCCAGGTGTATGTGTGTATTAGACATAGACATCAGATTTTATTGAAAAAAAAATTAAAAAGGCTTTGCTGTGCAATCCTGTTAGCCAAATACTAATGCATGATCAATAACGTCAGAGACATTTTAGAGACAACAGAGGAGGCAGGTATCTTTTTCTCTAAGAAAATGGAACAACAGAGTTCCCCAAAAACTTGCAAGGAGTTAGTACAGAGAGAGAACTGCACCCTAAATTTTGTAACTGGTGGTAACCTGCCCTTTGGCCATGAGTATCTTTCTTTTTTAAAATGCAGAGGGCATTTTTCAATCACTTTTACCTGTATTCAAAAGCATGCACCACTTCAGAATTTGCCCCCCCTAACGTGCATTGTATCACCAAGTTGGAAAGAATCCCTTTCCCTCCAAAGGCTCTTTTGTGCTTAATCTAAAGGATTTTTTAAAAACAAAGCCTACCATCTTTGCAGGTCTTTCCATTTTCGAGAAGTTTCACACCAGTGGGACATGCACACTGATAAGAGGGCTTGGTAGGAGACATCAAACACAAGTGGGAGCAGCCACCATTATTAATTCCACATGGATTTGTAGCTGTTAAACATAAATCACACAGATTAATGCTTCTGATAGCGAATGACCTCATCTCATGTGTTAAGACACACATGGCAGCCGGCATTGGAGTGGTAGAATCGGTGGCAGCAACACAGATTAAAGGAGGAAATGATAAACACAGAACAAGGAAAAATTACTTCCAAGTGTTGAGTAGTGGGGTATTTATGGTACCAAAATGCACAGATGTTGAATGTTTCCTTTCTTGGGAAAGCAGCACTTAGCTCTGAACAAGAACGGTGTTTCAGCTCTGCTCTTCTCTTTATAAACTCTTCAGCACACTGGTGCTGAATGTACACTAGGTTGTGTATACAAAAAAAGCAACCACAGTAAATTAACACAATGGTTAAGACAGTGGTTATTACGCAGAGCTAGTCCTGCTTAATGTCATCTGCCAAATTAACACTACTTTCCACTCAGGAACTACTACCTCAAAAAAATAAAAATACCGTGTTGCCTGAATATATGGTACAGACAACAAAAACTAATATGACAACAGGATAATAAATGTGTCAGGCAGAAAAAAAGTTAAGAGATGGAGTTTCTTCCTTGCACTTAAAGCCACCCAAAAAACAATGAAGAGAATATCTGGTTTCTCTTTGGGGTCTTTCCCAATCTCTGCATTGGAAAAAGTGCATCATGATGCTGGTGAAGCCACCCACCACCATACAGAAAGAGTCAGTTTTGCAAACCAGTTCCAACTTGCAGTTAAAAAAAAGAAAGCAGGACGGTTTACCATTTGGCTGCCTCTTTTGGCTGAAGGCGTGGATATCCATGGGGGAGAAGATGTTGGAATGTATTTCCCGCAGGTCCTCCCCGGAGTGCTTGCTGCAGGCCAGGATGGAGTGCGTGTTCCAGTCGGTCCAGTACAGCATGTCCCCAAACAGCGTCAGAGCAAAGGGATGGGGAAGGGAGCCTTTCACCACTGCTTGCCTGGTGGAGCACAGGGAAGAAAGTAACTTACAGTTACTTTTCAAGATTTTCATTATATTCATTATTATGATAATTATTAAGCTATTGGTTTTATTATAAGCACTATTCGAGTGATCTTCTGCCATGGTAATGGTATCACTTCTGAGCAAACCGCGTCACTGCCTCTCTCCAGGTTCATAAACAAAATTAAAGAGAATACCCATATATTTTATATATATATATACAAACACATGCTCATTAGCAAGCACAAAAATGCAGTACCAACATTACTGAAGACAGTTTTTGCAGGTTCTCGCGATGTAGAATCTAACTGTCTGTACCCAAGTTCCTCAGAACTGGAATTAAGTAGCTCGATTCCTATGGTTACTTTATTCAGAATCACAGAAAAACTTAGTATGGAGAGGGCCAACACCCTGCTCAGCACAGGGCCACACAAGTACTATTTACACAAGCACTTCTTCCCCTCTCCTTTCCTCACTGCACAGGCAGTCATGTATTCCCACATACCAAGCTCCTGAGGAACTGCAGGGATCGCCCTCCATTTCCCAGACTGAAGCACAAGGGATTGACACACACCCTGCTACTCCTTCAGAATAAGGCATACTGTGAACACCAGCCTCCTGATTTTCTTCTTGCAGGGAAGAGAGGAATTATCTCTATATTTACTACAGAAAACACCCTCAACACCATAGGTATCACTTTTGCAAGTAAGTCTAACTGAAGTGGTTGCAGATGACAAAAACTTTTATTTTCCAAATATTTTCTGCTAAAATATAACAGAAGGGTATATTAAAGCAAGAAACTTGAAGGTGTCTTCTGCTGATGACTCTGAGTTCAAAGAGACTACAGACATTACTGCTGTTTCACCTCTGGAAAAAGATGCATTATCTTTACAGGGTTTGGATTTTTTTTTCTGCTTACAAGAAAAAGATATAAATTTCATTACTTGTCACTCTAGTGTTCCGATTCTACACCAAACAAAATTTTCTAGTTTTTGGTATTTTGCATTCAAAAGTAGGACGTATTACCTTTTATTTCTTATCTCTGTCTGGAGTCAGGTACATATTTGCTTCTAACTAAATGTACCAACTCAGCATCACACAAAAGACTATTGTGATATAATTTACAGCTGAAACCTACCAGTGAAACAGTGAAGCCAGAATAACACAACACACTCCTGTACCACACCAAGTATCTTTATAATTCTAATTCTGTAAAAAATTTTATGAACCCCACCCTCAAAAACTAAATGTCTTCAGATCTGAATAATTTTAGTTTAGACCACGCTTGAAGAGTACATCTTTATGACAAATTTATGACATATGAAAAAGAAGAAACAAAAGTCCAAAGCTCTCACTATAACCAAACCTACACCAAAGACAGCATTCCCATGCACAAGAGAAGCCACATTTCTATCTTACCTTAAGAAAAACCCCAACCAAACCCAAAACAACCCTCAGAAGAATTTTACATGTGATTAGTACCCACCAGTGCTACTGGGAACAAATCTTTAGGTACAACAGCCACTGTCTGACACACCTAACTTTCACACAACCATCTGTTCACGTGACAGTGCAGCAGGTGAACTGTGACCCTTATTCAAGGGACTTGGGAGCCCTTCCTTTGACTGGACCATCAGTCACAGCCTCGAAGCAATTGCTCTTCACCTTGCATATTTTTCTCAGGAGATAAAAGGTCGCAACACATGAAGATGGTTTTGGGCCCAAACACAACAGCATGTGTTTCTTGCACGTCACTAAGATGAGCATTCCCAGTAACATGCAGCCTGCATTCTTTGTTTCCAGCAAGCCACTACAAGGTGCTAAGCTCACTTGCAATCAGCAAAGCCAGCAGGGCGTTTTTTCCCCCTTCAAACATCCCCCAAAGGCCACCCTTGCAGTCCCATGATGTACGTCAGCAGTGGCTTGAGCCGTTTCTCCAGTGTCACTGGGGAGGATCCCATACCTATAACCATCTCCTAAGGCTGTCAGAAAGACCAAAAAGAACCCATCTCCTTTGAGTGCTCATCGTGTTAAAGAAAGCATGTAACAGGCTTGCATGAAACAAATTATAGTATTTTAAACAAAATCTTTCTCTCCATCTACAGACTGCCCAATGCCTTGAGCATTTACAACACTTCAAGAACGACACATCTTCGACTTGTGACAGCTGGAAATATTAGCAAGTGGCCGAAGCACTCCCAGCATGAACCCCACATGCCATCAGATGAAGAAGGATGAAAGACTGAGCCAACACCCCAGCATGCCACAAGGATGCCACGAGGAGGGCAGGGAGCTCTGGTCCCCTCAGAAGCTCACAAGATTTCTTCTCCTGCCAACTTCACAAAAACAGCTGCAAAACAAACTCAAAAAACTAAACCGGATTTTTACCATGAATGCTTGTTCAAACATTCCTATCAGAAGACAAGGTTGCTTCTAATTACCTAAGAAAGTAAGCAGGAAGCATGATTTGTGGGACAAGAGTTTTGTCTTTTGCCACTTCTTTAAGCCACGATTGCCATGTGTTTCCAGAAAGTGTATGTAAAAAAAATAACAGGTCTAGCAATGACATTTCCAAACCTCACCTGCAATGAAAGTCTGAAAAAAGTCAATCAGAAATCAAACCATGATTGGGAAGCGAAGTCATCCTGTGGGTCATTTCTCAGGCAAGCAGCAGGATGGGTGAAAGGCCCCTGGCCCAAGGGGAAGAGATGAGGCACTTGAGGAGAAAGTGCACCAGTAGATCACTAACCAGAGAGTGGTCTGTGTGCTTCCTAACTGCAGCCGCTCTTCCTTGGCTTTCCTGAACTAATTTTGCATTTGCCACCTCAGGTCTTAGAAAAAGCATCGATGAGCTTCTCTGTTGATACACCTGGGCTGATCACCTTATCCTACACAGGCATTTTTGAATTCTAGAAGGGTGCCTGTGACCCAGTGACTCCAGCTATATTCACAGTGTACAGGTATCTCACACAGTCAACTACAGATGTTTTGAAACTCCTCCACTTTTACAGCATTTTATTTCAGCAGCACCTTGGAGAAGAACCATGAAATTCACCTGGGCTCTGTGTCCAAATAATCTAATTAATTCTATTTACGTAGGATAAATAATTCTAGCAGTTTTAATTAAGGCATTGTTTGGCTTCTGCACCGGTCTCTCACGTGTTGGTGAGAAATTGGAACAGGCTTCTCACCACTGACTGGCTCCTCTTCGGTGCTTGAAGGAGTTAAGCAATTTCATCTCACAGAAATATACAAAAAGATATGAACAGAACACAGTGTTTTATACCTTGTACATAACGTCACATATTTTACATATTAGAGGCAAATATTGAAAAAAAACCTCTTTTAAATGCAGTGACAGTATTTTTACTGCTTCAACAGATTTCCAACTAATCATCTGGCAGGCAGGCACGAGCTGATGCTTGAAAACAGAAACTAGAAAAATCAATGCTCAAGTGCAAGCTTAAGGCATTCACCTCCTTGCAAGAGCCTCCCAGCTTTCTGACAGTTGCTGAAAGTTATGTTTTCTTGCAGTGGCCTCAAAAACCATCTCATTAGCACAAACACTTCCTGAGGGACCTTGTAAGTGCATTTCCCTTCAGCCAGTAATGTGTTAACTCGTTAATTAGAACTGCTGCTGCAGGGCAGAGGAAGAGGAAATTAATTCAAGAGCTGCCTTAGCAGGCAAACCTATCTTGGGTACTCTGCTCACAGGGAGAGCTGTCTGCAATTCAGTTTTGTTTAATGACTCCCACAAAAAGCAACTGCTAAGGGCAGGGGCAAGAGCTGCAAAAAAACCCAAAAAAAACCCAAAAACCAAATCCATCTCCTCTATGCATCAATTTTATTTTTTAATTATTGCATTCTGACACAAAAAACTGCTCATTTCTTTCTCTTGTTGGCAAACCAAGGGCATTAGTTATAAATTTCTGTGCTCTTCCTCTTTATCCCACTTTACATGAAGCTTTAACAATCATTTATCTGCTACAGACTCTTTCCCACCTCCTGTCACAAAAAAAGATTTTTATTTTGACTTGTTATAAGTTTTCCTTAACAAATGGGATAGCTGTGAAGACACAAGACAACAGCTGCAATAAGGAACACTTTGTCAAGCTGCCTCACAGAAAAATCTGGGGTTTTTTGGGTTTGGGGCATTTTTTGGGGAGGGGAGTTTGTTGTTGAGGTTTTTTTAAGGTGGTGGTGTTTTTTGTTGGTTGGGGTTTTTTTTATCACGAGGTTTGAGACGACCAGGAGAAAAGACTGAAGGCTTTGTGAGTTTTGGGTAGTTTGGTGGGGTGATTTTTTCCACTTTAAAAGAAGATCTAAAAGGGTTTTGTTTTGTCTTTAGAAATTGGCTTTTCTTTTTTAGTATTAGAAAATCAGTTATTGAAAACATACAAAATAATTAAAACACAAAATACAGAATTTACAGCTGTAAAATATCATTTGAGAAAGCTGAATTTTGAAAGACAGCATCTAACAAAAAAAGAATCACTTCAGAACTTTAGATAACCCCAAAGGTCTTTTTTTCTCAAGGCAGGCAGAGCCTAAGACGTCACAGCAAAAAAACCCAAAACAACATAAAACCCCACTGTAGTACAGCCTAACTTCTGCAGTTCTTTCCTTTTTCCCCTCCTGATAATATTAAATTGCTAAGAATAAAAAATGAAACGAAAATGCCTGCAAACAGATGTTGTGACTATATTCTGAACCTTCAGAACCTTCTCACATGCCTAGGGAAAAACAGGTGCTGTTAGAATCAGTCTGTGCTTCCAGTGCTTCAGGGAAATCATATGTGCCTTCCTTTCCAGAGATGACTTCCCTTCTTCCCCCCCACAAATGGTGATGTGTTAGCATCCTACCACAAAATATTTCTGATGCTGAACTGTCTCCATTTAAAAAATAAACCCAACAATTTAAAGCATTAAGACTGCTTTGCTTTTTATGGCTACATAAGAAGGGATTAGTAGATCTAAAAATCTAAATGCCAGTCATCTTTTTCTAAAGGAAGCATCACTAGGAAATATTTCTCTCTGTCTTGGTGTTAAGTTTTTTTCTTTCTTGTGAAGCAAACAGCAAATGAAGGGCTCCTTCAAAACAGATATCCACACCTCCACGTTTTGAACCAACAAAGTTAGTTACAATATTTATACCCAAAGACACGAATTTAGAACTGCATCCAACTCCTGTTACTTTCTATGAACAAACAGCACTATAAAAATACTGCACGAACTTTTGATCTCTTCAAAGGCAGAAATTAAGAAGAAAGTGCCATGAAATGATATTGTGGAGTTCAAAACAAACACCAAAGGACAGCAGAGGACACTCTTCAGGCAGGCTGCCTATGCTGCCACTCACCAGTCCACACAAAACAACAATCTTATCAATATAACTGATTTCTTTCTGTCAAATTGGTATTTGTAGTGAAAGATGGGACAAGCCCCTAAGAGGCCAGAACAAAGAGCACAAGAAAGGCTATTTCATGCCCAGATAAACCAGCTGAAGCATCCAAAACATTTGCAAAGAACAACCTCCAGAACATCATCTCTCTGCATGATACCTTGGGCACAAGCTAACTGTGACTCATTTGTGTCTGCAAACAGTACTTGTCAAAGCTCAAAGAAAGGATAAATGCAAAGTAACAGTCATACCCTTAATTAAGACATAGCCATGAGTGGATCAAAAAGACTGACATCATCACTATGAAACCGTTAGAGAAAAACAGTAATTTTAACATAGTTCTCTTTTAAGGACTGTTTTCCACTAATTTCCCAGCCCCTAGGATTAATGAAACTGAAATAGCAGTGTATTATGATCTGTTTATTTAGATTATTTTCTGCACTTCTGAATGCCACAGCAACACTGGACAGAAGACCTACTGAAAAAGGACCATTCTGCTATATATATATAATTAAGAACAGGATTCTAGGATTTCTTATGGAACTGGTTCTGAGGAACCTCTCCAGTAGAGTTACAGGGTACCTTGAAGAGGAGCACACGTTCCACTTCACAGTGCTGGAAGGCAGAGGATGGGGCAGGATGAAAGTTTCTGACAGCACTAGTTTGCTTCAAATGTTGTGAGTGCTGACACTACAGCTCACTGCAGCGCAGCACACGGTATCACCTCAGCAACATTCTTTAAGAAAAGTACCACACTATATACATAAACCAAAAACTTCTTACCTATGACTGCCATCCAGATTCGATTTGTGGATGAAATTCAGTTTAGCATCTGCCCAGTAAAGCTTCTGTTCCTCATAATCCAAGGTCAGTCCGTTTGGCCAGTAAATGTCCGTGTTAACGATAACGGAGCGGCTCGAACCGTCCATCCCAGCACGTTCTATCTTTGGCACTTCCCCCCAGTCCGTCCAGTACATGAACCTGTAATGATATGGAAATAAGAGAGACAAAAAAAGGGAAGCAATCAGGTATAAATCTACAAAACACTCTGTAAAATCTTTTAAGACTGGACAAGCAAGCTGCAAAACATGTAACGTATACTAACATTTAAACATTATTTAACAAGTAGTGGGGAGAGGGAAGCTACCCAGCTGCAACTAAGGCTGAGGTGAAGCAAGAGGAACCACTTTATTATGGCTGGAGGTTTGTAGCAGGTAAGAATATTTGTCCTTTTTCTGCAGGGGGTAGAAAAGGGATACACTTTTGGGGGTTGTTAACAGGACGCATAACTAAACAGAAGTACCACAAATTATCAACAGATCAGACAAACTGTGCCCACGGTGGTTTTGTTGTGTCCTAAACTGCTCTCATCACCTCATGACATCTGCCAGCATACCTGCATACCTGTTTGCACCTGTGCTCCCTAACCTGGCTCAGTCAAAACAATCCAGAATTAGGAAAGACCTGAAACCTTTGAACTAACTCAGCTCATCACACAAGCACAACCCATCAGCACGTGGTGCCCACGCGTGAAGGGGCCTGGCCACCCATCCTCTAAACAAAAACCAACGTGCAACATATCGAAGGAACATTTGCAGGTGAAGTTATCCTTGGCAAATATTTATTCTTTTTTAAATTTATTTTTAAGAGTCAAGAAAAGAGAAGCACACACACGCAGAGAGAACTGGCTTTAAGATTCAGTAACATTTCCCAAGCAGCTCTGGTGACCTTTGTGCAGTTTCTCCAGCAGCTTGGGTTTTTTTCCACTATCATGTTTGTTTTCTTCCCCCTGGTTTGAAAGCCTGGGGGTTTTAATGTCTCCATTAAAAATGTTTTGAGGCAGCCCTACTCCAGCTGATGGTGACAGCCACACAGACAAGGTAAGGGCCATTCTCTCTCCTCCCCATCCTTTTCAAACACAGTTATTTCAATTAAGAGAAAAAAAAAAAGCCACCATCAAAGCCCACAGGATAGAGCAAAATATTAAGAGAATGTACACTTATAGAAGAGAAGAAGGTTCTTAGACTGAAGTGAAAAAAAATAAAATTAGGTGGTACTTTGTTTGACTGTGGCCCAGGATCTTGGATTATCTTCAAAAATTATACCACCATTAAAAATTAGGAACATATAGAGGAAGAGTTTTGATGGTTTTCTCCCATAAACTTCTTTCTATGCATCTTTAAATCTAGCATTTTTTTCATTTTTGCATCTCAGTGCATGAGGTGAATCCAGGCAATAAAACCTCCCCTAAAAAGGCATCAGAAATCACTTGCACTGTGCGGTTGTAACTTCCCAGTTTTGATCTGCTTCAAATAGAAGGTTTTGCCATAGGAAAACAAACAAACAAACAAACAAACAAAAAGGATAAACCAGCCAAAAAATGTACATAGCAAATTAAATATGGGAATAATTCTTCATAAAAGAGAGGAAGAAATATCTTTCAGGGATACAATCAAGATAAATGTGAGAGAGAAGATGTTCTCAGCTAGCTGAGAGCTCTGCTCTTTTACAATTCAATGCACTCAACACCATTTTCTGTGCAAATTACCTTTCCCTATATGCAGGTTCTAGCTGTCTCCATCACTCTTGAACATACTAGGAGCAAGCTATGTGAGCAATGAGTGTGAATTAAGTAGCTACCTGTTAGCATCCTAACACATTGAATCTTTTCCTTTTTACACTGATTTGGGGTTTTGAAGCCCACAAACTCCCAGTAAAGCTGCAGTTTTTCATTTCAGCTAAGCATGAGTGGCTCTGAACCACCTGTCTTAAATATTGCTGGACAAAACCAACCAAGATTTCTTCCATTGAAACCCAAGCCTTTTTTATTTTGCTTTTCTCAAAAGCATCAGCGTGTCCAGCACAGAGCAACTCGGATGTGCTGAAAAGGCTTGACAAGCAATTCCTAAAATAAGGGATAAATGCAAACATTCCACTTTTGGAGAGAAGAAAGCCTGTGATGAAGTGATCAGAAGATGATGCTTTGTCTCTACCTCAGGATTAATAACAGAGCATAAAACTAGAATAAGATTTCGGAGATGGCTTTCAGAAGCCCTGAAAGGAACACCTCAGCAAAACCACTGAAAGTCACTGGTGAGAAATCAAAACAGAAGAACAACCTACACTCTCATTTCATGACCAGAAAGGAACAAACCCAGTGTTCAAGCTATCTCTGATGCCCTCTGTTTTCAGGCATCCTGGTTTAAAGAATGTGCACAAAACACAGAGGACAGGTTGCTTTTCATTTCCATCCAGGTATTTCTAAAAGTCTACAGGAAATAAGGTTTGACTTAGCTGTCAAGCATACACTGATGCACTGCAGCCACATGCACAGAGTTGTCCTTTTGGCCACAGATTGCAAGCAAAGAGAGAAAAGTGGTTCATTAAAAAGCATTTTGTGTCTCCAGACACACAAGGTCTAATGACACCCCTTCCACAGTTAGGAAGCAAAAGCCATTTTCTCCTTACTCCCCGAGCAAGCAGGAAATAAGGCTTGACAAAACTCAGCAGCATTCAAAAACCAGTATTTGAAACAACAATTTTCCCAGTTTAAGCCCAAAGAATAGAGAGGGAGAGAGAATTTCCTCTCTCTGTGTCCAGTTAACATCATCCCCAGGCCCTTACTGACTGCAAGGCAGAAGGAAGATGGTGGTGGTGTGCTTTGAAGAATTCTGCCAGCACAGGAATCACTCCAGATATGACACTCCAGACCCAGCCACGTTCAGACAGCCTTTTAGTGGCAGGTAAGCCAAAAGAAAACTAACATTTAGGTTAATGTAACAGGAGAGTGACAAAATACGATAAGAAAAATTCTTGCCTTCCAACCTAGCTTGGTTCTTCAAATACCCCAAGAAAACAGAGGAAAGCAAACCAGCTGGCAGCTGTGACAGCCTTGCAAAACATGAACACACAGACAAACAAAAGCACCACGGAGCAGTAACTGTGGCACAGCCTCTCAAGAAGCCCGGGCTGCACGCTGGGTAGCTCTGCAGGGCTGAGGAGTCTCACAGAGCTCTGCTCTGGCAGTGCCTGGAGCTGGAGCTGCTCAGCAGGGCCCTGGAGGAGTTCCTGCACACAGAAACTCACTTTTCAAAGAGCTCTTTAAAATCCTGTTAAAAGGTGCAGATCTACACACCTGTGAACTCAACAAAATGTTTAGCTACATTAAAACAAGTGGGGGAAAGCATCATCTTCCTCAGATAAAATTTACCTTCTTTGTACAGTGAAAAAATGTGTTTCTTTACAGGGACTTGCACTAAAAACATAAACATTTACACCATAAATATTTAGTATATAAATGAGGATTTAGAATTCTGTCATTTCAAAGAGCCTTGGGATGAAACTGGACAAATCAGCTCCATAATTTTTCACTCCCTGCCTTGACACATAAGGATCTTTTCAGCTCAGTCAGAATCAAACTTCTTTTTTTTTATATTTCAATAAAAACCTGGGAGAATTGTTCTGCATTTCTCCCTATACATCATGAACACAGGAAGCAGAGAAAGATTTTTTTCCCCATACTTGTATGTTAAATTGAAGCCCTAAAACACACACTCTTCTCTCCACGGCAGGAGAGCACACTCACACACTGGAGAACAACAATGTTTTTTTTTCCTCTGTAGAGATTTTTTTTTTTATCATCCCAAGTCTTTCATCAGTAAAATATCCCCTTGTTATTCATTCAGCCCTCTCTCAGTACACCACCACCAACTGCATCATTTTTATGTTCTTAATTCCTGACTCCTACAAGAAACCCCAAGGAACTTGAATGTTCTGCCAAACCAAGCTAACTCTTACCCTTCCTATCACATTCCAGCACTCTGTTAATTCTTTTTTCATAGTTTTCATCCTATTGTTTGGGATGTAAATCCAACTTTACTTACATGCAACCATGACTCCTTAGGCTTTTTTTTAAAAATTAAATTAATTCACGTCATCTGGGAGTCCAGTACATTTTCAGGCAGTTCCTGTTCTTGTGATTTATCAGTTTATTGATACAGAAACCAACTTGATACCCTCAGTAAGGAACATGCAGGCAAGCAATGAATTCATTTCAGCTTTCCTGAAACAGTTTCATCTGCCTTGGCTGGGTTTTATTCTTTTATATTTTGATCATCCACTGGACTCACTAAATCACTTACTCTCCTGGAAGAAAGCAGCACACACCAGTTAAGTCTTTTCACACTACAAAATTACAGAAAATTAGGCCTTATTTTTTTAACCCCAAAGTTACATGATGGTCACTACAAAACAAACAACAAAAAAAAGGGGGGGGGGGGCACAGGGAGGAAGGAGAGATTTCTCTATAGAGGATAAAAAGAGCAGAAATAAAGGGACAGAATGTAATTTTGTACAGTTTAACTGGATAAAAAGCCACCTTTTTTGAAACTCAGCTGCTGCCTGGGAGGGCGAGTGGGGAATGTGCACTCCAGAAATGATACAATGATATACTGAAACATTTTGGGAAAGGGTAGTCTATATTTATTTAACAACAATATAGGGAACTATTGCATGCATAAGCAGCCTCTAAAAAGTGCACAGCTTATTTAAAATCAGAGATTTTTAAAGTCAGCAAAAAACCCCATTTTTCTTAGTGTGCAACTTTGATGTTGACAGAAACAGAAAACGAGATTTCAGCAATATTTTGCCGATTTAAATAACGTTTCTTTCCTAGCCCAGTAAATACTTCACCTATAAAACTGATCCATCTGTTTGCAGTTGCTTTTGCCAGAGGCCCTGCAGCTCAAGGCTGCCACCTTTCCACCTCTCTCCTGCATCAGCCCAACCCCACGTGATGTGGCACGATTCACAAGAATGAAACATTAAAGGTGTTAAGCGGGGAGAAACCAAGCAAACATTAAAAAAAAAAAAAAACCTGCCTAGTTCAAAGCTTTTCCTGCAGAAGAAATAATTTGAATGGTTTTACAGAAAAACGACTTTAACAAAACAACGTAATTTGCTTTGCGTTTAACTTGCAAAAC